GTTCACTATGTCACATAATCATTTGTGTAGCTTTCTGATACTATATTGAACTCATTTGACCCTCAGATAATAAAATAAATCATGATAATTCCATGTTTGTGATATCATGTCACCCAGCCCCTTGCTGAACCACGGGGCGCTCCAGCTCCAGACTCCCTGCATCGAGCTGGAATTTCCCAATGACGGAAAACAAGCTGGAGGGAGATCCGGATGACGTATTGCTTAAGCTTTTCCACACTGAGTGAATTACAGCCTCTTCAGACCCTCAGCAGAAAAACTGGACGACCTGGAAAGCACTGATGAAATTGAGGGTCATTAAACCTAAACAACTGGTGCTCTGCTTTTTAGAAGAAGCATTTCTTAAAGAAGAACATCATGCAATTACTCCAAACTGTGTGGAGTTGCTCAGTATCTCAAATAGAGTTCATTATGTGGTTTTTGACACTGTATGACTCACTGTTATCTATAAACATGGACTAAGTTCATTAGCATAAAAAAGCAGCATAATTTTTAGTCTTACTACTTTTATAGAGAGTAACAAAGTACATGTACTTCATTATTGTACTTGAGTACTTTTAATTTCTGTAATTTTATCAATATTTCCTTTTTTTTACTTACTCCACTAGATTTCCCAGTAAATGTGCTCCTTTTTACTACACTATTTATATTTACAAAAGTAAAGTCAAAATTTTTTAATCAGATAGCCGATATCCCAGGAGTTTGGATGAAATATTACCCAATCACTTTAATCAACATTACCCTAAATGATGACGATAATGATGTAATATTTCATCTCTCTGATTGTAAACAGGCAGAGACTTATAATGAATGAAATGCAAACTTTATTACTTGGTTATAAAACAAGTTGGCTTCTTCTTGCAAATGAAAAGCTGCACGTTGTCTGGAAGCTGGAAAGCGGGGCAGGATATACTGAATTGGAGCGAGACAATGAGCGAGAGAGGAGAGGAAGCGAGTTTGGAGGATGGTGGGGGAGCTGGGCGTCTGACCACTGTTTCTGAAAATATACCAAAGCTGCATGTGTGGTGGGATTCAGATGTTAAAAAAATCTTTATGTGTGGCCCAGAAGAGAAATATGACTGTATGACTGGGTTGCATATCATCATGACTTGTATATAAACAAGTGCTTGAATCTGGGCAGTTTATGGCTGTAAAACTCTCTGTTTTTAATTATTCCTCACCAGCTGCAATTATAGAGTTAGTCACTGTAATAATCTTTTCTTTTTACAGAGCAGAGGTGGGTAGCTTCGTTTGCTCGGTTCCATACTTAAGGACAGTTTAGGATGGATTTGTGCTTTTCTCAAAGTTTTTATTGCTCGAGTGAGGAAAGTTATCTGCACCCAGCTCCCTTCTGTTTCCTTTTTTGGGTTTAATTTCACTCTGTTGTGTTGGTTTGGCTCCTGGACTGCTTTACTGTTGCAGACGCCTCTCACTTTCGAGCTTTAGTGCTTTATTTCGGACCAGATCGATTCAAAAACAGAAGAACAGAGCTTAGTTTAAGACGGACTATGATCTTTCCCCGAAGTTGAAGTTGTTTTTTAGCTAGGCTACTTTTACTTTTACTGCAGATTTTATTGCAATAACAACACTTTTACTCGAGTTTGTCTTCTGTCTACTCATTCTGTTTTCCATATGCTTTGTATTCGGCCGTGTACTGATCATTTTGCCCATTGTCATTTAGTAAGAAATGCTGGGGGAAAGTAGGACACATCTGGTTTGACTCATTGTGTTGCTGACTCATGCGCCGTCACAGTAGAAGGCTTAAGGAGATTTATGCTGAATGCCAGTTTATATGCTATGCTGTCTCAAGCTATGGGGTAAAATGAATATTTTTATATGCCATGCTAGCATGCAGATGCTTTTAGCGAGGGACTGCTGGGATTACTAACATTGCATTGTTAGACACCAACTTAACTTCATTACATTGATGTTTTGTCAAGTTATTTCTTCAAAGCCGTATTGCAGTGAGCTTTTATGTATATCAGAGGCAATTTTCATCTGCAACTGTTTTAGCTTTAGCAAGTAAAAAAGGGAATATCTATTTTGTCTAAATTAGCTCAGGAGTTTTTGCGAGCTACACTATATTGCCAAAAGTATTCGCTCGTCTGCCTTCACACGCATATGAACTTGAGTGACATCCCATTCTTAATCCATAGGGTTTAATATGATGTCGTTGCTATGTCGTTCAACTCTTCTGGGAATGCTTTCCACAAGGTTTAGGAGTGTGTTTATGGGAATTTTTGACCATTCTTCCAGAAGTGCATTTGTGAGGTCAGACACTGATGTTGGACGAGAAGGCCTGGCTCACAGTCTCTGCTCTAATTCATCCCAAAGATTTTCTGTCAGGTTGAGGTCAATGTCCAAAATCTCTTGGTCTGCTGAAGCATTAAGAGTTCCTTTCACTGGAACTAAGGGGCCGAGCCCAACTCCTGAAAACAACCCCACATCATAATCCCCCCTCCACCAAACTTTACACTTGGCACAATGCAGTCAGACAAGTTCCGTTCTCCTGGCAACCGCCAAACCCAGACTCGTCCATCGGATTGCCAGACGGAGAAGCGTGATTCGTCACTCCAGAGAACACGTCTCCACTGCTCTAGAGTCCAGTGGCAGCGCTTTACATGTAAGGCTTGGATGCAGCTGCTCGGCCATGGAAACCCATTTCATGAAGCTCTCTACGCTGTTCTTGAACTAATCTGAAGGCCACATGAAGTATGGAGGTCTGTAGCGACTGACTCTGCAAAAAAATCTCTGCGCACTGCGCATCAGCGCATCCGCTGACCCCGCTCTGTCATTTTACGTGGCCTACCACTTCGTGGCTGAGTTGCTGTCATTCTCAATCGCTTCCACTTTGTTATAAAACCACTGATACTTGACTGTGGAATATTTAGTTGTGAGGAAATTTCACAAATGGACTTGTTGCACAGGTGGCATCCCATCACGGTACCATGCTGGAATTCACTGAGCTCCTGAGAGCGACCCATTCTTTCACAAATGTTTGTAGAAGCCTAGGTGCTTGGTTTTATACACCTGTGGCCATGGAAGTGATTGGAACACCTGAATTCAATGATTTGGATAGGTGAGTGAATACTTTTGGCAATATAGTGTAAGTAGGAACAGAGACAGAGTGAGACTGTAGGAAGAGAAGAAGAATAAAAAACAAAGCTTATTTCCATCTAATGTGAAACAAAAACAGAGCAAGAAGTATACGTAGAGCAGGGCTGCCCAAAGTGCAGCCTCACTCGGTGAGAGAACATATGTGGCAAAAGTTTGTGGACACCTTCTGATCCAAAGCTTCTTCCAAAATGATGAAATTACAAAGGAATTTGTCCCATTTGCTGCAGTAACAGCCTCTACTCCTCTGAAAAGGCTTTACACTAGATGTTGGAATATTGCTGTGAGAATTTGATTACCTTCAGCCACAAGAACATTAGTGAGGTCAGGTACTCATCAATTCTGGATCACAAACACCTCTCCAATTCATCCTGAAGGCATAGAAGGAGCTCCATCACTCCAGAGAAAGCAGTTCCACTGCTCCACAGCCTGGTGCTGGAGGGCTTTATACCCCTCTAGCCAACGCTTGGCACTGCACATGGTGACCTTAGGCTCATGTGCTTGCTGTTCCAGAGCATCCCGTTCTCTTGGTCAGTGCTTTTCTATGGAGATTTTACAAGCTGTGTATGCATTTGAACTCCTGTGTCAGCAGTGGGTTCACCTTAATGCAGCTGAATTCACTAAAGGAAGATGTGTCCACAAACCTTTGGACATATAGTGTAATTTTTTTATACTATGTAATTTATTCATCATTTTTTTTCCATTTAAAATTGTATTTGAAAGTATGTAAGTAACAAAATATAGAGTAATACATACATCATCTAAACTGCTTATCTTTCTGGGTTGTGGTGGGGTGCTGGAGCCTATCCCAGCTGTCACTGGGCAGAAGGCAGGATACACCCTGGACAGGTCGCCAGTCCATCGCAGGGCAGACAGACAGACAGACACATTCACACACACACTCACACCTAGGGGCAATTTTAGCATGTCCAATTGGCCTGACTGCATGTCTTTGGACTGTGGGAGGAAACCCACACAGACACGGGGAGAACAGGCAAACTCCACACAGAAAGGACCCTGGTCGCCCGGCCGGGAATTGAACCCAGGCCATTCTTGCTGTGAGGCGACAGCGCTACCCACTGCGCCACCAAAAAATCTCAATAATCTCACCATTCTACCACCTTAACCCCTTAAAATCCCAGGCTTATTACATACTAAAGCTTATTATTTAGTATTTACAGGGACTCTAATGCAAACTGGCTGGACTGTTCTTATGGTATAGAAGTGTGTAATAAAACTTTGGGCCTGCCGGCCAGGGTTAAACAGAAATGTGAGACCTTTTAATCTTTTCGTCTTTTATCATGAAAAAGCAATTTCAGTTCAAAATCCATCCAAGTACTGGACCCTCCATCTACCCAACTACAGTTATCATCCATAAATAAACAAAAAAAGCCAGATAACATCTCCAAGGACGGCTTCAGCTTCCTGACTGTAGGGCTGACGTCAACCGGGGGGGTAACACACCCAAACATACTGTACACAAACACATTTACATTTATAACATTTAGCGTACCCTCTTGATCCACAGTAGCTTACAGAACTGCTTTGTTTTCTACTTGGGAAAACTTTAAGCTAACCTTTTGTTAGTGCTAACAGGCCAGAGTCTACAAATATTAGCCAAGCAATGCAGAAGATACAGAAATGTATACAAAAACATGTATTACAAAAGGTTTAGTTGTTTGTTTGTTTATTTACAAGTGCACAATCAGGGTTCATTTAAATGCTCCCCAAAGACATGGACACACATTCATATACACTCTAGGAGACTTCAGTTGGGCCGCCCACTCGGCTCCCCCTTTTCCTTTCCCACAGTCAACAGGAAGACTGGGCCGAGCCTGCCAAAACTGAGAGCGAGGGAGAGGGTAAAGAGAGAGGGAAGGGGGAGGCGACGAAAGAGAAGAAACACTCCAAACTGAAAGCACTCAGCAAGCAGACGAGGACGAGAAGTCACCAAAGCCGTGCACATGAGCGCACCGTGGTCCAGGAAAGAGCCTGAAAAACCTGACCTAAGGTCCAGCAACCGGCCCAAAATGGACAAGCCAGAGAAGCCAAAGAGGCCAGAGGTGTCCAGCTTAGTGGCCAAAGGTCCAGCGCAACGTCTGAGCCGGGATTTGACCTGCTCCATCTGTCTGGACCTGTTTAAGCAGCCTGTATCTCTGCCCTGTGACCACACTTTCTGCCAGGCATGCATTACAGGCTACTGGACCGGCCCCAGGACCCCAGGGCAGCCCGGATCTGGATCCTGCCCGCAGTGCCGGAAAATCTTCCCTGGACAGACCTACAGGCCTAACCGCATCGTGGCTAACATTGTGGAGAGCTACTGCCAGGGCCTGGAGGAAAGTGGTGGCCGGCTGGACGTGGTGACCCCCGTGCCTTCGGTAACCCCTGTGACCCTTGTGCCCCGCTGCAGCCGACATTGCGAGGAGCTGAAGCTCTACTGCGAGGAAGACCAGGAGCTGGTGTGTCTTGTCTGCGGGATCTCCCAGGAACACCGCGCTCACACGCTGGTCTGTGTGCAGGATGCACAGCAGAAATACAGAGTAAGAGTTTATAATACTGCATATAATCTGAAACACAGAATAATGTATAACAAAATCCAAAACAAACCTGGCAACCTTCACTGGTGTTCAGTAAGAGACCATCATCTGTTGATGCACAGTTTGTGTAGCCCTTCGTTTCTGACCATAGAGCAGCTCTTCTCTGAATATTTTTGTGTGGACAGTCCAGTTTCAACATAGGGGTCACACTGGTGTGTGTAAAACACCAGTAACACAGCTGTCTGATACACACATACCAGCACCACACACACTACCGTGTCAGTGTCACTGCTATGCTGAGAATGGGCCCAAATATCTGGACAACAGCAGAAACTGACCAGTGATGAATGGAGTAAAGAGGCTGATAAGTACAGTAACAGCTGGACTTCAATTTGTAACTGCACATCTACGTAGCTGAGCTATAAGAGAGGTGTTTCTAATCAAGTGGCCACACAAGGTAGTTGTTTCTAATAAAGGAGTCAGTGAGTGGAAGCACAAGGTAGTTGTTTCTAATAAAGTGGCCAGTGAATGCATGCTTCCTAGCGAAACCTCATCAGTCTGGTTGTTTTGAGTTTGTACAGCCTGCAGGCTAGTTATTGTAACGCTCCCGGCATGGACGAGCTTTGGTCATACTTTCCAGCCTTCAGCTGCTTAGCTCAGCAGCTCAGGAGCTTTTTTGGTGTCCGCGTGCAGAGCAGCCTGAGGGGAAAAAATGGGGAACGTCTATGAGGAATTAAAATGATAGTTCAGCAAAAAATCTATCAGATGTCCCATGTACCCTAAATGTAGTTGATCAGCCAAGACATGTTTGGTGTCTAAAGTTTGCTTCTTTAGATTTATCTAACAAGTAGGAAAGACTGCCAGCTATGGACGTTGGGTTTTAACTAATCATAGCTAATACCCAATGTCAGAGACCACATAATCAAGTCTATTAGAGATTACTGAACAACGTATTGTGGTTTTAGGCAAATGTTTGATTTGCAATTAGTACCATGCTTGTTAGTGGCTGTAAGCTTTCTATTACTGATTAGCTATATTTACCTCGTAGCTTCATTTTACACCTAAAGAAGTAAACTTAAGACATTAGTTATGTCTTGGCTGATGGACTGTATATTGGTGTAAGGGGGCTAACAGTGTCACAATGTAACCGTGTCTCTTTGTGTGCATTAGAACTCTCTGAACAGCTCAGCCACGGCGCTGCAGGCGGAGCTGAACACGGCGCTGCAGTGTGAGAGAGAGACGGAGGACGAGGTGAAGAAGTTGAAGGTAATGACAGGATACAGCTGAAGCTCAGAGGAGCTAATCAGCCTGAATTATTCTTACTTTCCCCTCTGCTGTAGCGGTGTCCCAGAATTCATTGTTGTCGCTCATTTCCTGAAGTGCACAGCTGGTTGTTTTTTGTGTTTGGCCCTTTCTTGCATAAATTACTTATATCTTATATCTTATGCATATATTTATTGCTTTTTTTGTTATTTTTCTAAATATCACATTAAAAATACAGAACTGTGCACATATGTGGACACTGGGGATGCAAATTTTGGCAAAGTCTTTTCAGCCATAATTGGTTGGAGATCAGTTGTTAACCAGCAAAACTGAAATAAAAGATGCAACCAATCAAAATATTAATATTAGTTCTCATTCTGAAATCTGATTGGCTTAGCCTCATTTGCAGTTGTTGCAAAACACTGAATTCTGGATTAATGCATCAACATATTGTTATTTTTAGATAGTGTTCCTCATATGGAGTGTGGAATGTAGTACTAACACTGTACATGAAGTAAACAGTTCAAAACTACATTACACATATCCTACATAAAAAAAAAAAGCTTAGGGGGTGACAGCTTGGACTGCAGAGCAATACAGCAAGCAAGTTCTACATCTTTTAGCAAAATATAAAAAAAGATAGTGTAGCAATGGTGCAGAAGAAGACCCGGAGCCTGGGTTCAGACCCCCACAAGAGGATGAATCTTGACGTTTGTTGAAAGATAATTCAAAGAGGACGCGTCTTCTGAGGATGTGAGTGAATTGTCTACTATTGTCATCATATCTTCATCAGCATAATGTTGATTTTGAGATCATTTGAGACCAAAACATCGAGCAAGACCTTTTTTTTCTCAGGTCTCCCTATTGGCCCTAACCTTACATCCAGTGGCAGTGCCACAGTAAATAGTCAAACCGGTCACTTTGTTTAATAAAATATAATTTGTAAAACAGCATGATAAATTTATTTAACATTGGCAGCTTTCTGACTTTCATTTTGAATAGAAAATGTAAACAGTTTAGACCAACATGAATTCCATGCTGAAGGTCTATAATAAGACTGTGTACATTAGCCAAAATGCTGAATTCACATAAACACAACCAACTTTGCAGCACTTTTACTATAAAGCATGCTTCTGCTCACCATAGACACATCCTTTGGATAATAAAGATGATGTAAACGAGTTGGGATAGACAGCTGAGATGAACAAAAATGAGACAACACAGCAAATGTAAAAACCTAAACCTAATCATTGTAGGCTAAAGCATACTGCCACGCCGGGCATTAAAAGTGTTTATGAACATTGTACCTTTTACCATTGAGGACTTGATGCATTGTGGTAGATGTTTGCCTTGATATTTTGACACAGCCCATTTCAGCTATCTTTAGCGGTAAAAGAGCATTGTGATTACTAAATTTGCCAATGTTTTTTTGTCTTTGAATTGATAGCAAACTACCCATCAGAGACAGGATCTCACATTTTTTTTAATTCAAACACTGATGCATTAAAGCTTAAGGCAATGGCAGATTACAATGATAAGCAGTGATTGGAGGGCTGAGAAAATGAGGCGGAGCTTAGCAGACAGCATTATGATTTGATTGCCCATAATACAATAACAGCACTCACAGAAAAGAAATCAAATTTCAGTGTCTTAAACATGCAGCTTAATAAATATTCTGTCCTCATTTGATTTGGTGGATATGGAAGCCTTTTCTGTCACAAGTATGAGATAGTAAGTTGTAATTATGAGATAAAATGTTATTATACTAATGTACATTTATGAGATTTGAAGGCATAATTGAGAAAACAGGTCATTTATGATATAGTTAGTCATACGAGAATCTAAGTTGTAATTATGAGATAGAATGTCATTATTATGAGATAACAAGTCATAATTATGACATACTAAGTCTTAATTATGAGATAGAATGTTATTACTATGAGATGGAATGTGATTATCAGACACTAAGTTGCATTTGAGATAACAAGGCATAATTATGATGCAGTAATTAATAATTATGAGATAGTATCTTCTTATTCCGAGATTACTTGACATAATTATGTCATTATTGAGTCATAATTATGAGATATTATAACTTACTTATAAAGTAAGTCATAATAATGAATTACTGCAATGTTATTATGAGATGAAAAGGCATAATTATGATATAGTAAGTCATAATTATGAGATGATATGTCCTTATTATGAGATAACATGACAACTGTGAGATATTAAGTCATACTTATGTAAAATGTTCTGACTGTTATGACTTACTAAATCGCTATATATATCTTCTCAGTGGTGGAAATGGGCTTTGATAGACGATAGTGATCAATCTGGATTGGCTCAGGCTTCCTTGACCTACCGTGGCACACAGAAAAAACAGGCTCCACGCCCATTCTCTAAATACCATGCCCTGCCAGACTGCTATCTCTGACCTGCTAATATTAGCACTGAATTAAAAAAAGTAACACATTCTGCAGAGCTCAAGCCAAGCAGAGGCATTCTGCTGCACACTGCTAGAGACTGTTTATGCTGCAGCTCAGTGTACAACACAATACCACTGATTTAGGAGAATTTACCAAAAAAACCTTTCCAAAATATGTCATATAAAACCCCTTATTCTGCACCAATGCTCGCTAATATACTAAATACTAACTCTTCTTGTGTTCTGTTCTGCTGTAGGAGCACACTGCGGACCTAAAGCAGCGAATCGAGGCTCAGTTCAGCGACCTGCACCAGTTCCTGTATCAGGAGGAGAAGCTGCTGCAGGTGAAGCTGAAGACGGAGGAGAGGAGGGAGCTGATCCGGCTGGACGAACACAAAGCGCTGCTGTGTGTGGAAATATCCCGCCTCCGCAGAGCCCTCGCTGATATAGAGGACAAACTGAGAGAGCAGGACCCGTACACGCTGCTCAGGGTCAGTTTTAAACAATATCAGCATGTGGAGTCTAACATACACTGAGTTTCCACTTTATGAGAAACACCTACTTTGTGCTTCCAATAACTGGTCGCTTTATTAGAAACACCTACCTTGTGGTTCCACTAACTGACCAACTGGCTACTTTATTAGAAACACTTACCTAGTGCTTCCAATAACTGGCCACTTTATTAGAAACACCTACTTTGTGGTTCCACCAACTGACCAACTGGCAACTTTATTAGAAACACCCACCTTGTGCTTTCACTAACTGACCAACTGGCCACTTTATTAGAAACACCTACTTAGTGCTTCCAATAACTGGCCACTTTAATAGACACACCTACTTTGTGCTTCCAATGACTGGCCACTTTATTAGAAACACTAACCTTGTGATTCCACTAACTGGTCACTTTATTAGAAACACCTACCTTGTGTTTCCACCAACTAACAAACTGGCCCCTTTATTAGAAACACTGATCATGCACTTCTACTTACTGGCCACTTTATTAGAAACACCCACCTTGTGCTTCCACTCACTGGCCACATTATTAGAAACTACAATGTGCTTCCACTAACTGGACACTTTATTAGAAACACCCACCTTATACTTCCACTAACTGGTCACTTTATTAGAAACACCTGCCTTGTTCCTCCACCTACTGACAAACTTGCCACTTTATTAGAAACATTCACCTTATAGGTCCACTATAAAGGTGTATAGCTACAGATCTGTGGTCAGAAGCTGGTCAGCAGATGAGCTACAGTCTCATACAGTCTCTGATAAAGTGGCCAGTGTGTGTATGTGTTGTTTTCTGTCAATGTAAACATTAGAGCAGATTGCTGATTGTTTTCCAGTCTGACTAAAAGTGAGTTATGCAGTGAACTGAGGGACAGAGAGGGGGAAACGCTGCGTGAGGACGTTGGGGAACAGCAGGATCTAATTAGTGATGTCACTCTGTTTCTCGATGGAGCAGATAAAGATGCTGGTCGAGTTCAGCATGGCAGGGGGATTTCCAGAGAGAAAAAGAATGAAAGAGAGAGAGAGAGAGAGGGGGATTGGGCTGGGTGGAGTGGTCTAAGCACTGATCTCATATGGAAAACACTTTTTCCCCCTTAACTCCTCAAACCTGTGCCAAACTAATCAATGCTCTGCTTCCTGTCTCTCTGCAGAACATAAAGAGTCTCCTTCAAAGGTGAGTTAGATCTCCAGAAGCTCTGGACTTGTGACTGGGATAGTTTTTACATTTTGTTTGTGAGAAACCGTGATTGCTTTCCTGTCTGAGCTTTTTGATGTTATTGTTGTTTGTTGCGTGATTCAGGCAGCCACTGAAGTTTGAGAAGCCGGCGCTGACCCCCCCTCAGCTGTGCGAGGGCCGATTTGCCGGCCCGCTGCAATACCGTGTGTGGAAATCCTTGAAAGGAAGCATCTACCCAGGTCATTCTCTCACTGCAGCACTCACACATTAAAGCAAACTGGAAAGAGGCCACGAACAGCCCATTGTGTAACACTGGAACAATGAAACATTCCTCACAGCAGAGGTGTCTTATTTTAGGTTACGGGCTGTAGGGCAGGGCGATGTGGCAAACACATCATATCACGATAAGACATTTTCACAAAACACGATACATTAACTGGCCACTTTAATAGAAACACCTACCTTGTGCTTACATTAACTGGCTACTTTAATAGAAACACATACCTTGTGCGTCCACTAACTGGCCACTTTAATAGAAACGCCTACCTTGTTCTTCCACTAATTGGATTGAATAGGTACAGACATTAGGATATAACTGGCGGGCTGTCATTGTAACATGGCCAATCAAATCATTACACTCTCTGTCAAGCTCCGTCTTCTTTTTCTACCCCCCTACAATAACTGCTCAGCAACCGTTGCTATCTACCTCAAGCCTTCAGTTTGTTATTTGCTTCCCAGTATTTTAATTTTAAGCTCCAGTTGCAGTTAAAAGATGCTACTGAGCAATGTGTGCTAAAGATGCTAAAGAGCAATGTGTGCTAATCTTACACACACTGCTCTTTTACTACAAAAATGTTTACTACATGAGCTTTGCAAAAATGTCAAAGCAAATATCTAATGTCACTTCAGTTCAAGGTAAGACATAAATGGACCATAAATATTCTTCATGTCTGCTGTGGCAGTACGCTTTAGCTGAGGATGATCAATGTTAGGTTTAAGTTTTTAAGTTTGCTGTGTTGATTTTACTTGTCTTTGTACTTGTCTCACCAGTCTGATTTTAACTTTATATTGTTTTATTGGACAAACGTGCCTGTGGTCAAAATATTATATGATGACGCTACAGCAGCCTTATGTTTAATATAATTCAACATTTTATTCAACATTTCACACAATGCACAGCGCTAAAATCAATTAACTGGGGCTAATTATGCTCTCTTAATAATGAAACATACAGTTTGTCAGTGTTCTACAAGTAGCTACGATACAAGATATATTCAGAAAAGCATATGGTTTATCATGATAACAACATTTATCATAATAACGCTAAAACATTGTCATATTGCTCACCTTAGAGGGGCCACGTTACACTCACGTACATTCTGAATGCACAAACCGACTGAACAAATATCACCTACAAAACAGACTGCAATTCATCACAAAAATACTCCTGTGAGCTTTGAATAACTGAAACACGCTGGCTTTCCATGTTTCTCAGAGTGGGAGGAAGAACTGATCTATTTTTTTCTTGGAAAACTCGTCCACGTTTGTTCTTTTGGAAAGAGACATGCTGCCAGCATCAAATTGCTAACTTGACAGAGAAGATTTACACATCCATAGCGTGTTTTGTCACTAGTCTGTAATCTGAGTTTACAGCTCTATTTTGCCCCCTAGTGGAGTAACAGATGCTGGCATTGCCCCTTGTAATGCAGGATCTTTCATTTCAGTTACAGTCCACAAAATGATTTTAATTTCTGATGAGAAGCGTAGGTCTGGATTACAACCTTTGTCAGGCCGGTCCGGGCCAAAGGCTGCATGACACACCTGCCTTAAGATGTAAGGGTCTGTATGTGGGTCAACACTTTCATAACCACAGAACATACACATGAGCTTCATAGCAGTTAACTTATACCATTGTTTTAGTATTAATAATAATTCTTTATTAATAATGATTAACATTACACAAAGAAAAACAGTTCCATTGAAATTGTTGAAATGTAGACACTGCTGAATAATTCATAGTACATACTGAATCATTTATTTTAGATACTGAATAATTCATAGTAGATACTGAATAATTCATAGTAGATACTGTATAAGTCATAGTAGATATGAAATAATTCATAGTAGATATTGAATAAATTATAGTACATATTGAATAATTCATAGTTGAATAATTAACATTAAACTTTAGACACCAAAGATGTCTGTGCTGGTGGGTAATGGGAAAAATATCTTAATAATATGGTAATAACTGTCAATAATAACCTTTAATCAATCACTTTCATCTTCCTCTTCTTTCTCCACAGTGCCGTCCGCCATAACCTTTAACTCGAGCACGGCCAACCCGTGGCTGAGTCTGACCCCGTCTCTGACCTGCGTCCGCTACCAGACGTTCAACAGCGCGGTGCAGGACAACCCTCAGCGTTTCAACGCAGCGCTGTCTCTGCTGGGCAGCCAGGGCTTCACTCACGGCCGCCACTACTGGGAGATCGAGGTGTACAGCAGCGCCGTGTGGACAGTGGGCGTGGCCAGAGAGTCCGTACCCAGGAAAGGAGTCATCAAAGCCATGCCGGCCAACGGCTTCTGGACCATCTCTTTGTCCTACGGCGTCCAGTACATGGCAGGGACGTCGCCCCCTACTGTCCTGTCCCTGGACGAGCAGCTGGACCGGATCGGCGTGTATCTGGACTACAGGAGAGGCCTGGTGTCCTTCTACAACGCTGAGAGCATGACACACCTCTACACATTCCAGGACACTTTCACTGAGACCCTCTACCCGTACTTCAACCTGGGCTTCTTGGACAAAGTGCACGAGAACGAGCCTCTGAAAGTCTTCATGCCCAAAATCTGAATCTAATACTACACACACATTCAGGGACACCTTAGCATCTTTTACAACTGATTGAGTTGATTTTGACTATTGCTGATCAGTTAAGGAAGAACAACAGGGTTGTGCTACTACACTGAAACAAGTAATACATTGAATACACATATTCAGTACTGCAAAAGTCTTAGACACTTAAAAAAATGATATATGATATATTATATATATTACATATTATATTAAAAAAGTTATTTATCTGGGCTGTAAGTGTTCATTTGCTCATAAAAACACTAATATTTGAATAAATACAAGTAAAACAAGTGATATTAACACAATAAGTGTTAATCTTCTAACCTACATATTCATAACTTTTTTTAAAAATAACATAATAATGTATATAATAATGTTATATAATCAAACACACTTACTGCCCAGTTACATAAACAGTTTTAAACAGTTTTATTAATGACTAATACATACAAATATATATATATATATATATATATATATATATATATATATATATATATATATATAATATATATATATTTGTATGTTTTAGTAACAACTTTGATAATTGCACGAAGCGGTTAAAGACGCTTTGTGTAGATTTTGTCTAAATAATGATTTTTTTTCTTTTCCAAACTATTGTTACTGTTTAATTCAAAGGTGCTTTAAACACCTGAAAGGTCTGACATTACAACAAAAGGATAAAGAAGGCATAGCCTATGGCTTTTACCCTAGAGAAGCAGTAGTTCTTTCAGTTTTGCAGTTTTTGCAAATAAAATTCACAACAGCGCTCTGCTTAAGAGGGTAGGTGCTTGTAAAAGGAGAGTGAGCACATGCTGATTTGTATTCAGAACATTTTTGAAAGCTGGGTGTCTCCAAACTTTTGATGGACAGTGTTCTCAGTGCTCTCATTTGACATCACTTTGACAAATTGTTTAATTGCCTGCCTGTGAGCAGAAAGCACAGGACTGGGTAGGGCCAAGCCCGAGTGTCTATGCAATATTTTGAGAAGTTTATGCTAAGAAAAATCATTCACAGTTTATTTTGATGGACTCCTGTAGGTCATCCGCAAATGCTCAAATTATTACTAGACCATCTGGTGAAACTCAGTTGGGGTTTTGGGTTAAAGTTTATGTTTAAAGTTAAGGAAAAGTTAAGGTGAATTTAGTATATATTTATTTCATTGTCAGTTAAAGGGGAATTCCACCAGTTTTTAAGATGTAAACAGAGTCGTTCAGAGTGGTTTGATGCGAAATGCTCCGTTCTAAACAAAGTTTAGGAACCAGACGTCCACCTCTAAAAGCTCCCTCACAGAAAGTTATTGCATGAAATTAATACACTGCCTGATGTCTGAGACACTGTTTTATGATAGTTTTGAGAACTTAAAATCCATTCATGGTGGAGGGATACATGCAGGGCACTGTGAGGCAAAATAGTGCCCAAAGGAAACTTATTATTTCAGATTTTCTTCTATTTTCCCATCATTAACTATCATTAATTATCATTCCATATAAACTCAGAAGACACGTGTAGGTTCACTGGTGGTTTTGGATAGTAAATAAAATGTCTATATTTGCATTGTAGTCATGGTGACCCCTGTAAAGACATCTGAACCATTTCACACCAAACCACTCTGAATCACTGTCTACATCTCACACACTCAATTATGCAAAAAATATACAAAATCAGTCAAAGTCCCCTTTGAAATGGCATCTACAGTGGACCATAATAAAATATTACTGAGAATGTTTATTGTTCCCAGGCTGGTCCTGGGTCAGTTATACATCTATAGAGCCCTCGGAGCATCTCATTATACCTCTAATCATCCTGATTCAAGTTTTTTATGGTTGTAATCTCCAGAAAAAAAGGTTTGAGATGTACTCTGAGATGCTTTGTGAATTCTGGCTCTTTGTAAGCTACATGTTAGTCGTGAGGACTTTACCTATGCAGTACTTTAGGAAAGTCGTGTATTTATAGCACTCAAGCAAAAGTATATTTTGCTATATTTTATATTATCTGATGTAACAGTCTTTTACCTCTGTTGTTTAAGAAGTTTTAAGTCACAGCAAAGACAGTGATTGGTTTTTAATGAAGAGTTTCGCACTCTGAATTGAGACTGTTGACTGTCTTTTAAAGCTATAGTTTGCCAAAAATCTTCCAAGGCTTTCAATGCAGTTCAATCAAGATGTTGTGAACAAACAAAAACAATAGATAAAAAAACATTAAAGGTTACTAAACCACTATATTAGCTATATTAGCCTCTTAGCTCCAGTGCTAGAACTAAAGAAGCAAACTTCAGATACCAAATGTGACCACATTTGGGGTGAATTGGGATTTTGTGGCAAACTATCCCTTTATTATTCTCAAAACATGCAAGATGTAAAGCAGCACTATGTAATATTGTTGGTGTTAAAACTAAAAGAAGAATCATTACTGAGTGAGGAGAGCAATAACAGGCTAAAATATGGTGAGTGTGCGCTGCTACGAGTAAAGCCTGAAATAATCATTTAAAAGTCAGAGGCATCGGGTTTTTCACAACACGTTGTACGTCTTTACACATTAACATCACACACACAGACTCAAAAAGAAGGTCTTGCTCGATGTTTAGGTCTCAAATGATCTCAGAATCAACATTATACTGATGAAGCTGTAATGAAAATAGTAGATCATTTACTCACATCCTCAGAAGATGCAACTTCACTAAGTTTTGATTTGTTTTGACAAGTTTTGACAACCAACATTACAAAATGCTCCAGAGAGGGTGCCAAATCCTACAGAGTGCTGCTTTAGAAGAAGTGAGTGGATCATGTTGTTTGTGTGATTGAACGCAGTCACAGATCAGCAGCTTTTAAGCTGTAAACACTGCAGCTGCTGAGATGTTGTATGCAGATGTTCTGTAAGGGAATGTATCACCACCAGCAGCTTTGAAAACATCACAGAGTGCAATAATGTATAATCCTTTAAACTCAGATCAATAAAATCAATAAAGGTGCATAACTGTCTCATTCTGAATGTCTCAGAAAATGTTTGTCTAGTAAGAATATCTATGTTTGATTGACGTTCTTAATGTTGTACTTCATTTTTGTGCATTATTGAAAGCATCTGAGCTGCTGAGCAGTGCTATAAACATATAATATGTTATTATAATGACTATAATGTGCTAACATGATTATGATGATGTTATTATGATTATGAAAAGTTTTATGACTTATAGTGAGGGGAAGCAAGTGTTCAGTCACAGTACAGATTGATTAGAAACAATCTTGCTTGCTTTTTGCCTCATAACTTTGAATTTAACATTCAGAAGTTGAGTTGTCATTGTCATTTTGTTATACATTCAACATGCATTACATACCTGTTTAAATTATATACTTATATATTATATAATTCTATACATTTTCTCTCATAAGATTGACCGACATTTTTCTGTTCACATCAGAAAATGAAGTCAAAATAAAACATCTATTCTTAAAAATTACTGTTCCTTACAGGTTTAGTAAAAATAATGGTTCTGTATGGAACCATGAACACTCAAAGAACGGTTTGCATGATTAAATGGTCCCTTGCACGGTGATATGGTTCTTCAGATTGAAGGAGAATGTGTTGCATATGGTTCTATATGGAACCTTTTTGAAAAGTGTTCTATATAGCACAAGAAAGGGTTCTTCTATTGCATACAAGCTTGACATTGTTACAAAAGAAGAACCTTTTTGGGTGCTATATAAAAAAGCTCAACAAGGTTCTATATAGAACTATATACAACACATTCTCCTTCAATCTGATAAACAATTTGACCATGCAGAGAACCATTTAAGCATGCAAAGGTCTCTTTGAGTGTTCATGGTTCTATATAGAACCGACTGTGTTTACTAAGGAACCCTTGAAGAACCATCATTTTAGTCAGTGCTACAAGTGGACACTAGGTGGTGCACACGGGCTTTCAGGCTCAATGGAGTTCTATGGAGATTTGGTGTGAACTGTGATTGTGTGGTTAAAAAAACAATAATAACAGAATAATAAGCTTCAAACAGAATTTATTCTATAACTGCACACAAGACTGATGAGTGTGGTGAAAGTGGTGTTTAAATAGTTCTGAACTAGTTAATTAAAAATTTGAAACTAATTAGTTAATTAGTCTAATTAGTTAATTAGCTCTGAACTGCTTTATAACTTTCATGTGCAGTGCCAGTCAAGCCTTTTACCTAACTACTTAATAATAATAATGATAATAATAATAATAATAATAATAATAATGATAATAATACTAACATTGTTTACATAGTGCTAAAATCATTGGTCAAAATAACTGACTACAGCACGATTGGATGCTGGATTATGTCAACAGTCTCCAGCTAAAACGAATATTTGAACTACATTATATAGACAAAAGACAAAACCTACACATTACACCTACAGGAGCTTTTATGACATCACATTCTAAATTCATAGGCATTAATATAGAGTCGGTCCCCTTTCGCAGCTATTACAGCTTCCACTCTTCTGGGAAACTTTCTACGAGATTTTTGAGTGTGTCTGTGGAAATATTTGCCCATTTATCCATGACTGATGTATGTAAAAAAAAAGCTCTATTCTGATTGGCTGTCCATGCCATGTCTGATAGCATGCTGAATAAGCATATATATGTAAATCCCTTTGTTTTTGTGACATCACAGAAACGATCAATTCAAAATGGGCTGTTTTTGCAGTCATTTGGACTGGGGAGTGAACAGTACATTTTGAAAATTTAACAATGTTCATTTACATTTACATTTGTTCACACACTAAATCAAATCAGTTTTCCATGATACAGGCCCTTTAAAGGCATCTGGATCAAAAGGCTTAAACTTAATAGCTTAAAAGTTTGCTTCCAAGATAGATATCTATGTAGGAATGTATTTTCAAAACATTTAAACACATTTAAAATATACTTTTTTTCTATATGTCTATGCAAAAAAAAACAGACATAGATAATCAAGAGGCTAAATAAAACTTTTTTTCAATAAAACATTCTGACAGAATAAATAAACAGTAAAGCAGGTGCTGTCTTGGAATATGTTTATTAGTCCTTTAAAATTACTGCTGGTCCTTCCATTTTTTCCAATTGGCAGGAATGATAAAAGTGAGAAGAGTGTGTGCTGGAGACAAACTTTCTTGTTTATTCATTTGCACAATAACTGCAGGAGCTGCTCTTAAAGAGCGTACAGTCACAAGATGCAAGAATATACAAAAACTGATTCACACTCTCTTTGGGGCAGAGAAATCAAACTGCAGGCTAGGTAATCTCTCCAAGCTCCGCCCACAAATATGCCCTTTGTTGTGAGATTGGACTCTATAGAACACCGATAAACACGTTTATTTAGAGAATCAACAAAATGTAATCCAACCAAACTGTTGCGTACCCAGGGCTGGGCAATATGACAATATATATCTTTATCGTGATAAATTACGTCAGAATACAATACAGTCTGCTTTTCTGAACATATCGTGCATATCGTCAGTACTTGTAGACACTGATCAACTGCATGTTTCATTAAAAAGAGAGCAAATCTAGTCCTGTTTGACTTATTTAGTGCCAAATACTGAATAAAAATCACTTGGTTCCCATTTTTTGACAGTATTTTTTAAAATCTAGCACTACTGGTTCTTTTTTCTCTGTTCCAACTGATCAGATGTCTGAAAAAATAAATATCGTGACATATCTTGTATCATGAAAAGTTCTTAAAATCGGCCACCTCTATGCATATTATTATACATTTAGAGCCAGTTATTCATTCAACCTAACAGAAAGTTTATATCACAATACATACAGTTTCTCATTAGGCTGAATGAATAACTGGCTCTAAATGTATGTATTAAGATATAAACTGAGTCTGTTCTACATTTTCTCATTAGGCTGAATGGGATTTTTATCAGTGTTCTGTAAAGCTTGTCCAATGTCACAGTAGCTATGATAGAACACATTTGTGGGCGGAGCCGGACCTACCCATCTATCAGTAACATGGCACATCACTCACTCGGATGGCCAGTTTCCTTCTGTTTTAAAGCATGCTATCGGTGAAGTTTTTAAAGGACCGTCTAGGGGGTGCTGTTCAGTCACGTTTCACACCTATAAGGCTTCTCTCTCCTTCCTTCCTCAGAGCTGGAACGGTTAAAAGCATAAACTCAGTGTCTGCTATCAGTCCATCCAGCCTGAAGGGTGGACAGTTTTTGGAGAGAAAGCCTCAACGAACAGCTCTGGTGGGGTGGTCGGGGGTCCCGAGCTGCTGTCTTCTCCTCTGGAGCCCCTCCTTCACTTTAAAAAAGAACTCACTTGCTCGTGTGAAGTGTGTCCTGAAACTTGGTGCTGGTGTAGCGCACGTGGAAACCCTTCTTACTGATCGTGTCGTCTGAGTGGAATTTGATGACGATGGCATCGCCGGCTGAGTAGATTTCCTCTGGCGGCTAAAGGACAGCAGGAACAATCACTCAATATTAAAGAAATGGTGAATCAAATTTTGAAAAAAAATCAATATAAATATATAAAATATATAAGTAAAATATCAGTGTACTCAAACAGTCAAGACTTGTTTAGTGTCTGAAGTATGCTTCTTTAGTTTTAGCACTGGAGCTACTGGGCCTAATGTTGCTAACAAGTAATGTGAAGTGTTTTTTTAGAAAGATGTTTCTGACATATCCTATGAAGTAAAGGTGGGCAATATGAAACATTTATCATAATCCTGATATATTACATCACAATATGGTTTTCACATTATTATTAAGTGTGCGTAATTTAGTGCAGCACTGTGTGAAATGTTGAATATAAATCACTGGATTCATAGTTTTTAATAGCATTTTTAGTTTGTCTGTTCCAACTCATCAGATATTGTAAATATTGTTATGTATTTGCCTGTACCATAAAGTCAGACAATGAAGCCAATGGCATCAAAAATGGTGAAACTGGCCGGGCTGTGATGTCAAAGCCATTTTCATCATGGCTGAGAAAAGAATTAAACAGTCCATCGACAGAAAATTATTAAATTACACTCATGGAGCTCTTTATTGGGAACACCTGTACACCTAATAATTCTGCAATTATCTGATCAATCTTGTGGCAGTAATGCAGTGCATTATCATGCAAATATGGGCAGGAACTTCAGATAATGTTCACATCAACCATCGGAATGAGGAAAAATGATCTTAGTGATTTTGAGTGTGGCATGATGTTGGTGCCAGATGGGCTGGTTTGAGTGTTTCTGCAACCGCAGATCTGCTAGGATTTCACACACAGCGTCTCCAGACTTACTCAAAATAGAGCAATAAAGAAAAAACATCCAGTGAGCAGCAGTTCTATGGATGGAAACACCTTGCTGATGAGAGAGGTCAGCGGAGAATGGCCAGACTGGTTAGAGCTGACAGAAAGGCTACGGTGACTCAGACATCCACTCTGTATAACTGTGCTTAACAGGTCAAACCTTGAGGTGGATGGGCTATGACAGCAAAAGGGCAAAGTCAGGTTTCACTTCTGTCAGCTAAGAACAGAAAGCTGAAGCTGGCATGGGCACAGGCTTACCAAAACTGGACAGCTGAAGACTGAAAAACGTAGCCTGGTCTGATGAATCTCCATTTCAGATTATAGGGTTAGAATCTGGCACAACAGCATGAATCCATGGAGCCAACCTGCCTTGTGTCAGCAGTCCAGGCTGGTACAGGGGGTGTAATGGGCTGGGGAATTTTCTCGGCACACTTTGGGCTCATTAATACCAATCATCTCTTGAATGCCACAGACTATTTGAATATTGTTGCTGACCATGTGCATCCCTGCATGACTACAATTTACCATCTTCCAATGTATAATAATGCATCATGCATAATAATGCATCATGTCACAGAGCAAAAGTAGCTCAAACTGACTGCATGAACATGACAGTGAGCTAGTGTTCTTCAGTGGCCTTCCCAGTCACCAGATCTGAATCCAATAGAACACCTTTGGGATGTGGTAGAATGAGAGATTCACAGCATGAAAGTGCATCTGGAAAATCTGCAGGAACTGCATGATGCAATCATTTTACCATGGACCAGAATCTCAAAGGAATTTTTCCAACATTTTGTGGAATCCATGCAGGAAGACCCGAGGCTGTTTTGTGACCTGTCCAGTATTATTATAGTGTTCTCAATACAGTGTTTGATGATCGTGTGTACAAATAACATTTGATCTCTACTATATTTACCACCACATGGACAACAGTCTGAAACTGATAGATGTCAGTTAGTTACTAGCTAATAAACAATGACAGACTTTGTTTTTGTTTACTTCTCACATAAACACAACCAAGTCAAGCGAACAGGGTCCCCTTCGGCAAAAACTTTTACCCAACTTACACTTAAAAGAAGCAGTAATACTCCACCAATTAGCATGGTAACAAGTAAGAACTGAATACAATATATGGACAAAAGTATTGGGACACCTTTACATTACACCTACAGGAGCTTTTATGATGTCCCACTCTAAAAATCCATAGGTATTAATAAGGAGTTGGTTCCCTTTTTGCAGCTATAACAGCTTCTACTCTTCTGGGAAGCTTTCAATAAGATTTTGGAGTGTGTCTGTGGGAAGCATCTCTCATAGACTCGATGATGTGGTTTCTGACACTATGTGACTCACTGTTATCTATAAACATGAACTAAATTCAGTCCGCCAGACAGCTGCTTCTGTTTTCAGCAATGTGACGTATACATCTGTACTCTTTCAAATTGCGTTGAAGCAAACTTGTCTTGGCTCACTGACCACATTTGGGATAAAAGGAATTTCTGCTTTATTGCAAACTGACTAATGCTAATTTATTAGAGACCTTCTGAAATGCTAGCTGTTCTGAAGCTTCTAAAAGGCACTGTAGGTGTATAATGAAGTGTAATTGGCCATGATCTTTACCCCAGAGCCACAGTAACGGCCCAGCCGTGGTGCTTTAGTGTCTGCTCCGTCAAACAGCTCTACGTAATCGTATCCACAGTCCACTTCTTCCTCCAGCTCGAAGGTTTGGAAGATGAGCTCCACGCCGTAGCCTTTCTCTGCCGAGATCACCCACTCACAGTCTGAAGCTCCGGGGTAGTTATTGTCTCCAAACTGAGCGTGGGAGTAAAAGTCTTTGGTCTTCACCTCAGCCTTCAGACTTCCTCCACACTCTGAGAACACCAACAACATTTAAAGAGTTCAGCGAAAAATCAAATTTACAGTCGTCTCCCCCAAACCCAAATGTAGTTGATCAAACAAGATGTGTTTAGTGTCTGCAGTTTGCTTCTTTAGTTTTAGTACTAGAGCCACAAAGCTAATGTAGCTAACAAGTACTGGAAACTTATTCCCCACCAATTAGCATGGTGCTGCATGCCTACAAATGGGCAAAAGTACAGGCAAAGACTGCCGCTACTGTTTTCCCCTCTAGCACAGACCAGCATTTCATGGTGGGTTTTGCTGGTTTAGCTGGTCACCTAGCCTGGTCATGCTGTTTGATCAGCATACCAGCATCCAAAATACAACACAGGCTAGTTTTGCTGGTTTTTCAAGCAGTTTTGCTATGCTAACGTTGTTAAGTCCAGGGGTTCTCAACCTTTTCCAAGGTTTTTTTTTTCCTTTTTCTCAAGGCCTGCCTGCTCTTTATATGTAATATGTAGGCTCAAGGGAAAACAAAACTTAGAAATTCAATAAATGGAAAATAAAACATAAAATATCAAATAATGAAATCTTGTTTTATAGTAGAAATATGGCAGAATGGTGGCAAATTAACCGACAATAAAAGTTTTTTACACCAGTTGCTCATAAGACAGCTGAAATGTAGGTAAAGGGAAAAAAACTTGCCGTTGTTGTATTAAGATTATTTACCTTTTAGAACATTTCATATTTTTTTGGTTTATTGTTGTGTTGTTTTTTTTTTTAACTGATATTCATGAAAAAAGTGCCATCACCAGTCCACTATGGACAACTGACTTTCTCTCAGTATTTGCTCGAATGCCACCAAAAATTTCTTCACAGCCCACTATCAGGCTAGAAGTGACTTAACACTAGTGTTTGCACAACTTCGACAGTTATGTGATGAGAGTTGAGTCAATGTTGACTAGTCGCTGATAACGTCATGAATAAAACCGCTGGAGAAAGAAATGATTTGCAACAAGTGACTTAAAAAATTCTGACTTTAAAAATCTGTGACAAGGCCAAACTCCACATATCAGCAGAATGTGGCGTTTCCAATGAGCCCTGGATCACATTGCTGGCCCTCAGGGAACCGATGATACAGATCCCTGAAACTCACACATTTGTATCCGACAAGATGTCAAGATGCGGTGGAGGTCCAGAGAGCCAGAGAAATTTAGAGTGCCGTAACTCAGCAAAAGTGAGAGTAACCATCTTCAATCTGTACAGGATCACAGGGTTTGTGCTCCCTCTCCAACACAGGACTTTTTGCTGTAGTCTTTGGGAAACTGGAGAGAACAACGTTCAGTATCTGAAGCTCTGTAGATCAGTGGAGAAATGTTAGAACAAAGCATAACTCCACAGGTCGGTAAAGTGTGATGACCACTTTCCAATGAGCCCTGGATTGCATTTCTAGCCCTCAGGAAAACGGACCCCTAAATCACCAGGCTCCTCATCTGTTGTCTTCTCTGAGGCATCCATGTTGTTAGTGTCATAATCACGTGATCAGTGAATCGTCAACATCATGCTTAAAGCGGCATAGTACAGCGCCGAGCAGTAAAGTGTGTGTATCCCCTACTTAACACCGTGCTAACTGGTGGGTATAAGCTTCCATTACTTGTTAGCTACATTAGCCTCGTAGCTCCAGTACTAAAACTAAAGTAGTAAAACTAAGCTTCAGACCCCAAACACTTCTTGTTTGATTGACCACATTTGGGATAAGGAAGGCAATTATGTATATATGATTTTTCACAGAAATAGAAGCTTTGGTGAAAGTTCTGCCCGGAAGACTCTAATGCCCTGTAATTCAATGATTCATTACTCCTGACCAATCGCGGTAAGCCATGTCTTTAAAATGACTTGACTCATGTAACTATTCTGCTGCTTTCAGGTGCCTATGCATCGACATTCCCCTCCTTCCTCCCCACCACCACCAGTTGGATCCCTTTCTGGTTGTCTGGGGGGTAGGCTCTGCCCCCACCATCTCTATCCAGCAGGACGGGCCTGCACCAGACTCTTTAATTTCTACTGAATTGTTATCTTTGAACTTCTAAAATTTGACTGAGGAATAAAAAACTTCCTTCACTCCTGCCTTCTGAGTCTTTTTAGCAGAACTATCAAGTCTGTTGAGTCATGACTCAACCTCATTATTAACTCATATTAAACCAGACTCAGCCCCAAAGAAATGTTTCACTTTAATCTATTATGTTTACACATGTTAGCTGGCAGTAACAGAAGACTTTGGCTCTATTTCAAGGGAAGATGAAGGTACCTGCGCTGTGAGAGGCCTCAAAGCCCCTCTTCTGCACTGAATTGTCGGAAAAGAACCTCAGGAACATCTTATTCCCGCTAGAGATGACAGGCGTTGGCTTTTTACCACCACAGAATCTCCCCAAACTGGGCGCCCGGCCGTCTTGACCATCATAGATCTCCAAATGATCATAGGAACACTCCAGATGGCTCTCCATGTCGATATCATTAAAGGCCTGAGAGAGAGAGAAAGAGAAAGAGAGAAGTGATACATCTATGGTTCAGATAAAAAAAAGGTCTTTAACAGAACTCAACAGAAAAAACATAACCCTCAAAAATCACAACTGAGAATTTAGAAGCTCTTTAGAAAAAAAGGCCAGCCACTTGAGCAGTAGGTAGGTCCATATCATAAGCCCCGCCCCTCCCTGTTCATTTTCCTTTCATAGGCTGTTCATTAACAGTGGTTTCAGTGAAAGATGGTGAATAATAGACGCTGTAGAGACATTCACTGTTTGTAGATGATCATTTATATAGTCAAATCAATCAAATAAAACGAGTGGACAGAGATCAGAAGGGCAGTGTGAATGGGACTGAGTCTACCAGTTTGATGCGGTGTCCCAGGTGTGGTGGACAGAGCCCAGGTGCAGGCTTTTTTACTGGGGTATTTATCCGGCCAGTTCGGGCTGGTGATTGTGCCGGACACGCTGGTGACGACCTGGTCACAGCCCGCTGGAAACACAAACCACAACAACATTTTATTCCCTTAAAGTGATAGTTCAGCAAAAAAAAGTTTCTCCCTGTTGCTCAAAATGTAGCCGATCAACCAAGACAAGTTTGCTTCTTTAGTTTTAGCTGTGCATAATACATAACACCAGATTCAGATGTTTAAAATGGGATTCACCAGCTCTAAAATCTACTGAACCCCTCAGTTTGGTGGTTTTGGATAGTAAATAAAATGACTAGAGAAACTTGCTGAGTCAGAATTGTTCACAGTGGCGGTGATAGGAACCAGACGTCCACCTCTAAAAGCTTCCTCACAAAAAGTTATTACATGAAATGGATATGAATGCACTGCCTGATGTCTGAGACATTGTTTAATGATAGTTTTGAGAATGTAAAATCCATTCATGGTGGAGGGATACATGCAGGGTGCTGTGAGGCAAAATAGTCCCCATAGAAAACTTATTATATCAGATTTTCCACTATTTTCCCAACATCAACATTCCATATTAAACTCAGAAGACACGTGTAGGTTCACTGGTGGTTTTGGATAGTAAATAAAATGTCTGTATTTGTGTTGTAGTCAAGGTGACCCCTGGTTCCTATCACCACCACTGTAAAGAAATCTGAACCATTTCACACCAAACCACTCTGAATCACTGTTTACATCACTAACACTCAAAGATGTCAATTTTTTTTAATTGGTGGAGCTCCCCTTTAACTCTTATTAGACCTGCACTGTTTGAAAAAACTGTTTTGTTTTGTGTGAAAGCGTCTCATTTCCTGCTGAAACCTGACAGTCTGAAGGCTGCTGCTCGAGCCAGGCTAAAACAAACATGCCCGTCTGTAAGAAATTGAATCTACAATTATTATCATAACATTATCATATCAGTGCTGTTTATGTTTCCAGCAGAAGTGTTTCATTAATCAGCTCCTTTATTCTGAGTGTTAGAGGAGATTTTTCACACTGAAGTGTTTACTCATCACATCCACAGCGTCATAAACAGAGACGAGCTGACATCAGAATCAGGCCCTTCAACAAATTACTATTCATAAAATGCATAACTGTTATTTTACATGCAAAACCATATTACCACTTAAAGGCACAAACATCTGCCTGAACGGTGATCTTCTCTGACAGAATAAAAGCAAAAGTGCAAAAGTTTTGGCACATATAATAACTTATTAACCTTTTATTATAATTATTTTACCAAATTCCCTCATTTTTATGTGGATATGTATTTTATTAAGAATGTCTTGCTGTTTATTTTGTGATGTATCCTGATTGCCTGGTTGTAAATCACTGACACTAACCACATTTACATGCAGGCTGATAATCCATTAATAATCCGACTAATAGCTAAATCTGAATAGAACACGTTAATGTAAATGCCTTAGTTGGAATAGACTAGTCCAACTGAGGACATTCCGGATACAATTTCTTTTGAAATTTGATTGAACGAGGTGAGTAATCCTGTAAATAATCTGTTAAATATAAGAATAATAGCTGTGTAAACACCTGTATCTATCTCTATCTTTCCCTCTTTCTCTCCCATTCTTTCGTTCCCATTCTCTCTCTCTCTCATTCCTCCTCTCTCTCTTTCACATTCTCTCTCTGTCATTAGTCCTACTGTCTTTCCCTCGTGTTCTTTCTTCTATCTTTCATTCTTTCTTTCTTCACTCTCTTTACCTCTCTCAGTCCCCTCTCTGTCTCACTTTCACTTATTCTTCCTTTTCTCTCCTTGTCTCTCTCTTACCTATTCTTCTGTTCCTTGTTTTGTTTCAATACATTCTTTCCCTTTTTTGCTTCTTAGTCATTCTTTTTTTCCTTCCCTTTGCTGTTTCTCTCATTCTCTTTTCCTTCTCTCTGTTCTCTCTCTCTCTCTCTCTCTGTCTTTCTTTCATTCTGCTCTCTCTCTTTTCCTCCAGACTCTCTCTTTTTTTGGCTCTTCTTTCATTTTTGCTCTTTTGTGTTTTTAATCAGCTTCTCTTTCAAGTATTTAATCATAAACGTTTAGATCAGAGTGTTTTTAAGATGAACACATTAATTCGGGGGGATTTTTAGTGTTTGAGCTTCTACTTCTGTACTTTTGGTTTTACTGCGGTCATTATGTAATCTTTTTTCTGTATTGTGGTTTAAGACACTCTTTACGCCTCTGAATGTGAGTGACGCCACATACGAGAGGGTATTTGCATCCGTGTGTCTGATTAAGGGTCAATTAGAGCTGTGACTCATTTCTTCTTCCATGCTGCCCCATTTGCATCTTAATTAGTCCAAAGTAAACTAGAACTTCAGTGTAAAAGTGCTATCATGGTTAGCAAAACTTTCCACAAATGTAGGCAACATACCTAATATCTCTCACTATTAGACTGTTTGTTAGGTTATAGATAGATAGATTCATGCTGTATTGATCTCTCATGTTTTGTTGCAGCAGCACATAGAAAAGCACATAAAGTAAAAGGACACGAAACACAGACAGTTTTAAAATACACACAGCATAAAAAGTAAAGCACACTGACTGAAAGGGGCGTCAAGTAATAAGTAATAAATATAATACAATAATATAATGCAGTAACTGTCGTTTTAAAGTGGAAACATGCTAGTTATATACAAACTAAACGACACAGTCAACTACACAGTGGGATTAATGTAAAGTAACCTACATAAACAATGAACAATATGAATTATGAATTATAGGTTATAAAAACATTATTAACCCTTATATAAGACAAACCAATTATATAAATAGAATGAAGGATTATTTAATTCTCACACAAGTCTCATAAAGAGAAATATTACAGGTAATTTTAAGATATTTTAAGATTCCACACTTTGCAGCATTTTACTCAGAGCACTGTGGAAAAGGAAAGTGCAGAACAGTGCCATCTACTGGCTGTTCAAAACATTTTAAATTTCCATTTATTTCTCTGCAGAAAAATTTCCAATAACAGAGTCATATAACTAAAATGAACAACACTGACATAGTGTCAAATATAACTGATAACACAGCACATTAAGCTGAACCGTCATGTTTAAAGGGGAATTCCACAAATTTTCAAAATTCCTGCATGAGTAAACGGTTGAGACGTAAACAGAGTCGTTCAGAGTGGTTTGGTGTGAAACGCTCCATTCTAGAGAAACTTACCAAGTCAGAATTGTTCACAGTGGTGGTGATAGGAACCAGACGTCCACCTCTAAAAACTCTGTCACAGAAAGTTATTACATAAAATGGTTATGAATTCACTGCCTGATGTCTGAGATGCTGTTTATAGGGCTGGGCATAATGACAATATATACTGTTACAGTGATAAATCATGATACAATATCGTCAGTACTTATACACGTTAGTAGACACTGACTAACTGCATGTTTCATTATAAAGAGAACAAAATTAGTCCCGTTTAACTGGATCTAGTGCCAAATACTGAATAAAAAGCATTGTGTTCACAGTTTTTGATAGCACTACCGGCTCTCAGTTTTTGTGTTTTGTGAAAGTTTCTTGAAGTATCATGATATTATATTTTTTCGTTATATCGCCCAGTTCTACTGTTTTACGATAGTTTTGAGAAGATTTTGCACTTAAACTCAATTCATTGTGGAGGGATACATAATGTCCAGGGTGTAGAGAGGCAAAATAGACCCCAAAGAAAACTTAGTATTTCAGATTTTCCACTGTTTTCCCATCTTCAACATTCCATATAAAACTCAGAAGACACATGTAAGTTCACTGGTGGTTTTGGATAGTAAATAAAATGTCTATATTTGTGTTGTAGTCATGGTGACCCCTGGTTCCTATCAGCACCACTGTAAAGAAATCTGAACTATTTCACACCAAACTCTGATTAACTCTGTTATGGGGGCATTCCGCAAAATCAGTGGAATTCCCCTTTAAACTGTGTTTTGTATGCAAACAGTAGGGGGTGACGTTCCTTCTGCACAGTATACAGTGAGGAGGGTTAACATACCTTCCTTGCAGTCGTGTTTGTTATCATGCAGGATGAATCCGCTCCGGCACTGACAAGTGTAGCTCCCGAATGTGTTCACACACTCGTGCTGACAGCCGCCGTTCTCTCTCGAGCATTCATCCTTATCTGCAGGGATGGAACATTAGAAATTAAAAAAAAGAAAAGAAAAACAAAATGTCAACAAAATGACAGAGCTCAAGGGGGAACACAGTCTGACACGCAATCTCACACAATGCAGCGGCTCAATCACGCTGCCTAATCTATCACAGTGACGAGCTCTATCTGCCTGTCAGAGAGGTGACACTGCTTTAATCTGCAGCTCTGTAACAGCCTCGTCAGGGATTAGAGCCCCGAAGGAGGATAAAGATGAAAAAGCAAACTTTCATACTTGTTTTACAGATTTTCATGCGCAGGTTTAGTAAGCAAGCCAAAGAAAAGAAGAAGATTTGAGCATTTGAGCCGTATTCAGTCACTGGAAAAGCGCATTAAAGGAAGAGTTCAGTCACTCAATTACCCCAAATCTACACTCTTAAAAAGATGGTTCTTCAAGGATTCTTTGGTAAAGACAATGGTTCTTTGTAGAACCATGAACGCTAAAAGATCCCTTTGCATGCTTAATTAGTTTCTTGCATGGTGAAATTGTTCTTCAGATTGATAAAGAAAGTTGTATACGGTTCTATATAGCACCGAAAAGGGTTCTTCTACCGTAGCTAGCTTGACTTGGGATGTATCAAAAGGATGTATTTTCAAAAAGGTTCTATATAAACCCTCTACAGCAAATTCTCCATCAATCTAAAGAACCGTTTCATGACGCAAAGCACCCTTTAATCATGCAAAGTGTTCTTTGAGTGTTTCAAGTTCTTTACAACCATTTTTTTTGCTAAAGAACCCTTGAAGAACCATCTTTTTAAGAGTGTACATTAGCCTCATAGCACCAGTGCTAAAACGAAAGAAGCATCTTCAGACACCAAACATTACTCTATATTTAGTATTAAACAGTGTACATTTTTTTGACTGAACTCTCCCTTTTAACACCTGGTGTGGTCTGTTGGGGGTCTTTACTGCACACCGGAGAAAAAGTGGGCTTTGAAGCCTCTCTTGGCCACGGTGTTGTCGGACTTGAACTCCACGCGCATGTTGTTGGAATGGGAGGTGATGGGGTCCAGCTTCGCGGAGCCACAGAACTTGCCGTGGAGTTTGGATTCAGCGGAGAGACCACTGCGGACCTCCACGTAGTCGTACTTACACACCTGAAACACAGCAAAGGAGTGTCAAAACATTCAGGGAAGAAATTCTTAACTTTATCAAGGAATAAATGCTGATCTGCTGAACTAATTGGTGAGGTGGGACTGAAATGCTCAGGGTGGTGGTGGGGGGAGGGGTTTGGGAGAAACTTCTGCCGCTCCTTTTCGTGGTGAAGATCCTTTGGAAGCTACATTTAGGATGACACATTTGCTTCCCAACAGCCAGAAACAGAACAATGTTTAATTGTTTTCCCACAGCATCTACTCCAATAGCTCTGTATTGACTGTAAACTGCTATAGGCTGAATGGGTGGCGCTAAAGTGCTGTAGACTGTATGGGCGGGGCTAAAGTTCTGTAGACCATGTGGGCGGGGCTAAAGTTCTGTAGACTATGCAGGTGGGACTGAACTGCTGTAGGCTAAATGGGTGGGGCTTAACTGCGGTAGACTGGATGGGTGGGGCTAAACTGCTGTCGGCTGAATGGGTGGGGTTAAACTGCTGTAGGCTGAATGGGTGGGGCTAAACTACTGTAGGCTGAATGGGTGGGGTTAAACTACTGTAGGCTGAATGGGTGGGGCTAAACTGCTGTAGGCTGAATTGGTTGGGCTACAGTTGGCTAAATGGTGGTTTATATGTAAATGTGTTCATGGTTATGACATCACAACCCTGTTGAATTTCGAACGGGCTGTTTTTTGCAGTTTAGTCTCCATATATTGGAATGTAACAAGATGTTAACTTGTTTATAAGGTTCGTCACATTTTTTTATTTCAAAAAAGAAAGAAAATCCCTTTAATAAAAATTGTCACAGATTAAAAAAAAAAAAAGCCCACTATAATAGACACGTGATAGACTTTAATGGTTGAAGATCTGCAGGTTCACGGACGCACTCACGTCGTTGCCCTCCATGTCAAAGGTGTCGAACAGCAGGGTGATGCGGTACTGTGCGGGGGCCACCAGCTGCCACACGCAGTTCTTGTTGGGGGGGTACTCTCGGGGCCAGCCGGGGCTGCTGAAGGAGCCGTTCAGTTTGGTGATGAAACCTCCGCACGCAGCTGCTGGGCTCAAACAGAGAGACATTAACATACTAAGGAGTAAGTGAGCAACAATTCTGCATGGTTTGGTTTATACCTCAAAGTTTTTGGGGGAGAATGGAGCTGGGGGGAGTGAATAAGAAAAAACAGGAAAAAAAATTCTGGGTTCTAAAAAAACACCAATCTGGAACACTAAAGAGAAATGAAGAACATGGTGTACAGCTCCCCCAAACTTTAAATACAATAATAATTGTGTGATTAAATATGTTATAGTGTTAACCGTGAAAAGAAAAATGAGTTGTGGAAGGTCAAGGGGTTACAGAACCGTAACATGCTGTTTTGGTCTTTCAGAATAATTACTCCCCTACTGAGGAGTGGACAGAGAATTTACAGCAGTGGGTCAGTTTATGAGTCACTCCATGAAAAGAGGGCCATTTGAGTCCAGAACATTGGTTTAAGCGATAGAAAAGGTGCTAATAAGTGTTTTTCAGGCTTCAACATATTAATTCAAAGTTCATCACTGAAGTTTTTGAAATAGTACTAAATGAAAGTTGTATTAACATCAGACGGTTTCAGTGCTGATGCTTTGTGTGTATTTATCTTTTCACCTTCATGTTCCTCAAAGCATCTTCTCATTCTGAAGAGCAGGATTAGAAAAAATATTGTAGTCACTTTAATTGCTATCGTGAAGAGAAAGTGATGTAATTTAGGCCTTCAGAGTTTAGTTTAAATAATGATCTGAAAGTTTTCTTTTCCAAACTATTGTCAGAAGCTCATACTGAAACTTATTTTTATCCAAGGCTTGTTTTAACACCTGAAAGGTTTGACATCACAACAAGAGGCATGGCCTTTCCGTTTATTCCCAATGTAGGGTTTTTATCAACTCCTTCAGTTTTGCTGTTTTTGTAAAGAAAAATGGAAAGATGTACAAGAGTGAGGATGGACTGATCAGTGGTTTCTTTCAGCACAATCGACCAATAGCCGATCCCGATAGAGGGTGGGGCTGGACTGTTAAGCAGGATTCGATTAAATCTGCCAGTGTCGAATTGGGTGTAAGAGACAGAATTAATATAGATGGGTTCATTTTTAAAACTTGATGTGCGTTTTTTTTTCCACAAACACTGGGCTTGGTTTGAATAGGCCTGTAATCCCATAGCTAAAAGTAAAAAGGTCTGTATTTCGTGCAGCGTTTCACAGCAAAAAATGCTATCTTGTCAAGTGAAATTATCTTAAATCTAATCGATATATCTAATATTTTCCATTTTGCGATCGTTGTGCACTGAACATAAAACTGTCTAGCTTATTTACCTGTTTTAAGTATTTTTTTAAGTAAAATTAATTCACTATACTGGCAGATAATTTGATAAAATATGGTAAGTTATTGCAAACCGACAGACACTGTATTTCCAAAAGTATCCAGACAGCCCTTCTAATGAGAGCCACACCCAATGCCAATTGTGGGCTAAAGGGGTATAAAGCCCCCCAGCACTGGGCTGTGGAGCAGTGGAACTGTGTTCTCTGGAGTGACAGAGCTCCATCCACTACCTTTGGGATGAGTTGGCGTGATCCAGAACTGACCATCCAACATCAGTACCTGACCTCGCTAATGCTCAATCAAGTCCTCACAGCAATGTTCCAACATCTATAAACCTTCTCAGAAGAGTAGAGGCTGTTACTGCAGCACAAATTCATTATTAACACCCTTCATTTTAGAAGAAACTTTGGAGTCCACAGACTTTTGGACACAGAGTGTCTTTGTGACTGTGCGTGTGTGGACGTGTACGTTTACGTTCAGAGCGCTGCTCTCACCCTCACAGCTGCGGCGGTTGGACGCCAGTTCGAAACCCGGCTCACACGCACAGCGATAACTGCCCAGAGTGTTTATACAGCGCTGTGCACACTGACCCTTATCAGGCCTGGAGCATTCATCAGTCTCTACAAAGGGGGTTGGGGGGTGGGGGGTTGTTGATAGAGAGAGACAGAGAGAGAGACAGAGAGAAAGAGAGTTATATACTACGTACACATATCAAATCAAACACAATCAACTTTGTTTTATTATTGCATATACTTTTATTTTATAATTGATAACACTTCCTCTTCTTAATTATTGTATTGTTATATATTAATCTTGTTTTTGTTTTGTTTTTATCAACTTTTAATATATAAATATGTAGTGCTTTGACAGTACAAATGTAAATTTGTAATGTCAATAAAGCAAACTACTTGAACTGGAACTTGAAAATGAGAGAGAGAGAAAGAGAGAGAGAAAGAGAAAGAAAGAGAGAGAGAGATACAGAGAGAGAGAAAGAGAGAGAGAGAAAGAGAGCGAGAGATACAGATAGAGAGAGAGACACACACAGAGAGAAAGACAGATGCAGAGAGAGGGAAATGTCAGGTTATGTAAATGAACAGGTGTTGTTTATAGCTTATGTAGCTCTGAGGAAAATCAGAGTCTCAGTCTATTTCTGGACTACAGTGAACAGCAGCAAACACAACTGGAGCTGTTAGTTCAATTAGTGTCTTCCTAATTAGTAATGGAGGCATTGTGCTAACTACATACCTGAATTATCACACACTTGCAAACTGAATAGACCTCCACCAAAATTCCTGCATAATTAAGTGGTTAAGATGTAAGCAGAGCTGTTCAGAGTGGTTTGGTGTGAAACGCTCCATTCAAGGGAGTCAGAATTGTTCACAGTGGTGGTGAAAGGAACCAGACATCCACCTCTAAAAGCTCCCTCACAGAAAGTTATTACATGAAATGGTTATAAATTCACTGTCTGAGACATTTTGTTTTATGATAGTTTTACATTAGTTTTGACCTAAAATGTATTTTCTAAATCCATTCATGGTGAAAGGCATTGTGAAGCAAAAGACAACTAATTTATCCACTATTTTACCATCATCAACATTCCTTATAAACTCAAAAGACACGTGTAGGTTCACAGATAGTTTTGTGTTTGGTTGAGCACATGTCCTCACCCCTCAAAATTGTCCTGTGAATTAAACTGTGAATTAAAAAACACAGCGGAACGTCCTGCAGCAGAGCAGATGGCCAGACGTCTTGAGTTGAGCTTGTTTTGTGGCACTGCTGCTGCTATCTACTGACCAATTCTACCACTCGCTTGCCTAGTTTTAGAGGACACTGCTGTGTTAAACTCCACCAGATGCTTAGAAATGTCCAGTGAGTCCACAATATCGTCTTTTTTCAGGACTCGAGGTGACCCAGGGGTTAAAGCGGGGGGGGAGTTACGGCACTGAATCGCTCTAAAAGGTGATTGGTGGGCTCTGATTTGTACAGACTTATAGTCTACAAACAGTGCATCATTTTTAAACTGCGTCACTCTTTTAGCCTCCATACATGACATATGGCATATGCTGATAGCAGCGTCTCTGTCTGTCCAGACCTGGAGCTACCTAGGGGAGTGTTCAAGGTCTGAATATTAGGCTACAGACACAGGGCTTTTTTCTGTAGCCACAGGTCTCTTTTTATTGCCAAAATGTTTAATATGAATATGAATTATGTGCTCATACAACCACTGAATCTTTAGTGGTAACCGTGTCTCTGCCTCATTCCTGTCTGAGCCGCTAGACTTATTGACTTTTGAGAAGTTACCGAGCAACTTTATTTCTAAAAAGCAACTATTGTAAAAAAGGGCAATTGTGCAAGCTGCTCAGAGCAGTGTTGATGTCAAGCTATATGGCCTTCACCATAGTTTATTACAGTATCAGTTACCATGGTTGCAATACACCAAACTGGAACTGACCCGTTCTATTTATTTCAAAAAGATAAAAATGCAGGATATTTTTATGATATATTGTCCACTGAACTGAACATTCTGTCTCTGTCTCTGTTTCTGTCTGCTGTCTCTGATTTTCATTTCAGAAATCTGCTCACCTCATTTTGGATAGTAAAAAAATGCCTATATTTGTAGTCATGGCGACCCCTGGTTCCTATCACCACCACTGTAAAGAAATCTGGTCAATTCAAACCAAACCTCTCTGAATTACTCTGTTTACGTCTCACACACTCAATTATGCAGGAACTCTGAAAAAATGGTAGAATTCCCCTCGTAAGTTCTCTCTAATAGACTTGATTCTGCGGTTTCTGACACTGTATGACTCACTGCTATCTATAACATGAGCTCCAGTGCTAAACCAAAGAAGCACACTTCAGACACCAAACACTTGGCTCTCGGCTGATCAACTAAATCTGTAATAAGGAAAATTATTTCTTCAACTTCTCTTACCTTTGAAAAAGTTGGCTGAAAATCCTCCTTTGTTGATGGACCCGTCGGAGACGAACTTCATCCACAGCTGGTTGGAACTGCTCTTAATGTCATCGGGTTTTTCGTAGCCGCAGAAGCGGCCGATTAGTGGGCTGCTCTCCGAATTTCCATCACGCACCTCCAGGTAATCATAGCCACAGCTGTCGTGTCGCTCGATCTGAGAGAGCAAAGATTACATCATAATTTTCAATTTTAGCTCTCAGTTAACAATCACAGGTGGAGTGGGGCAACAAATGTTTTGAGTGCTTTACAATGCGCAACATTATTGTTATTCAACGTATATTCTTCCTCTTCTTTTCTGCCCGTTTTGTGTCCACTAACTCGTTCCTTCAGTTTTCCATACTATAGTAATACTATACTATAGTAACCACCTAGTAATGCTCTCACAACCATCTGTGATACCATAGCAACCACCTAGCAACACCCTAGGAACCACCTGTAACACCATATCAACAACCTAGCAACCCACAAGACACCACTTGGAAAAATGTTCTAACCACCTAGCAACTACCTGGGATAGCATAGTAACTGCTTAGCAACACCCAAGCAACCAACTAGCCACGGTGTAGCAACCACCTGGAATACCATGGCAACCACCTAGCAACACTCTATCAACCACTTGGGATACAACAACAACCTTCTTTCTACCACCTGGAACACCATAGCAACAAGATACTACCAGGAATTTCATTGCAACCACCTAGTAACCACCTAGTAGCATAGTAATTGCCTAGCCACCGCCTAGCAACAATCTGGAATACCATGGCAATCACCTAGCAACACCACAGCGAGCACCTAGCATCACACTAGCAACCATCTGTACTCCAATAGCAACCACCTAGCAACATCCTACACTTTTAAAAAAGATGGTTCTACAAGGGTTCTTTAGTAAAGGAAATGGTTCTATTTGGAACCATAAAATCCACACTCTTAGCAAAACGGGTTCTACATAGTACAAAAAAGCTTTTCTTTGGCCTGTAACACTAATGGAACCCTTTTGGTGCTACAAAGAACTCTTTTCAAAAAGGTTCTATATAAAACCATCTACAACACACTTTCCATTAATCTAAAGAACCCTTTCACAATGCAAAGAATCCTTAATCATGCAAAGGGTTCTTTGAGTGTTCACGCTTCCACATAGAATCATTTTCTGTAATAAAGAACACTTAAAGAACCATCTTTTTTTAAGAGTGTATATACAACCACATCATGATTAAATGATTCTTTGCATGGTGATATGGTTCTTCAGATTGATGGAGAATGTGTTGTATACGGTTCTACACAGCACCAAAAAGGGTTCCAATGCTTGTATACAATAGCAGAACACTTTTGGTGCCATATAGAACACTTTTTAAAAACCTATACAACACATTCTTCATTAATCTGAAGAACCATGTTGTAAAAAGTGCTATATAAGTTAATTTGACTTTGACTTTGTGTAATAATGCAGGAAAAACAATATAAACCGAGCAGAGAGTAATTTAGGAAAACAAAAAGAATCACTTAATTCTTCCAGCTTATATATTAAAATGAGGAATTTTTTGCAACATTATGTAAATTATAAAAAACAAATTCAGTTCCGGCCAGTAGGGGGTGCAGTTCAACACCTACCTCCTCCTTCAGACTCTACATAACAGATTAACAGGGGACAAAATAGTTTTTTTTGCATTCATGTCAACTACGTCATACCTCCAGCCTCAGAGGTCACCTAAAGTAGCCCTGATTGACTCAGAGGTCAAACAGCACTCAGGTTATGACCAGCTGATTGTCCCTCACCTCAAATGACTGGAAGTGAAGCCCCACATGAAAGCCCTGAGCCACTGTCATCTTCCACACACACACTTTACTGGGCCGGTAGTCGTCGGGGTAGTTTGGCGACTGAATCTGACCGCTGTCCCTCCGCACGTCACCCCCACAAATCGCTGAGGACACAACCAGTATTAGAACTTAACAGATAACTGATATGCTGCTTTTAATGCCGTCATGCATTCTGTTGATCCCTTTATTTGTCATATAAAAAGTGATTAAAACTGTGTCATAAACAAAGAGTAGACATCACTGTTACAGAGGTGCACTTGAACAATAGTTATATGGCCAATAATTTAAAATAAAACCAAGTTCTAATATTGAAGGTCATATTCTTAGAGACAGTTATTCATTCAACCTAATGTAAAACTGTAGAACAGACTCAGTTTACATCACAATACCTACATTTAGAGTCAGTTATTCATTTAACCTAATGAGAAACTGTAAAAAAAGACCCAGTTTATATGACAATACCTACATTTAGAGTCAGTCATTCATTTAACCTAATGAGAAACTGTAGAACAGACTCAGTTTATATCACAATACCTACATTTAGAGTCAGTTATTCATTTAACCTAATGAGAAACTGTAGAACAGACTCAGTTTATATGACAATACCTACATTTAGAGTCAGTCATTCATTCAACCTAATGAGAAACTGTAGAACAGACTCAGTTTATATCACAATACCTACATTTAGAGTCAGTTATTCATTTAACCTAATGAGAAACTGTAGAACAGGCTCAGTTTATATCACAATACCTACATTTAGAGTCAGTTATTCATTTAACCTAATGAGAAACTGTAGAACAGACTCAGTTTATATGACAATACCTACATTTAGAGTCAGTTATTCATTCAGCCTAATGAGAAACTGTAGAACAGACTCAGTTTATATGACAATACCTACATTTAGAGTCAGTTATTCATTTAACCTAATGAGAAACTGTAGAACAGAATCAGTTGAATGGGACCTCTACCAGCATTCTACAAAGACTGTCTAACCTTAAATATAACTTAAAGTAGCTATGAAATAACACATTTGTGGGCGGAGCTTGGAGAGTCAGACAGACTGACAGAGTATATTTGTACCTTCATACACGGCAGAGAATCCTTTCCCCACCCAGTTGCTGCTGCTGCGGAACTCCACCCACAGCCGGCTGTCTGTGGAGATGATTGGCTCTGGGAGCTGGTCTCCACAGTAACGACCTACAGACAACAACATAACCAGCTTGGAGTGATGATCAAAGGTCAAGCTGCAATCAGGCAGGGATAGGCGTAAGATCAGATGCGGATACAACTGTGCACTTAAAAGCCCCTTTCACATGTGGATTTAACTGTAAATAAGCAAGAAGGGGTTAAGTGTGAACAAAAGCTGGTGATGAAATCCTGGTAAAGTCAACACAGCAATCGATCAGCACCCAGTACCCAGTGTGAACAGAAACCAAATATTACAATTAACCCCTAACAACCCCTAATACAACTAACCCCTAACTACAATGACCTTAATGCAAACTAGTGGAGCTATTCTTAGGTTATAGAAGTGCGTAATAATACTTTGGGCCTGCTGGTGGGTCCATGGGTTTTTAAGAGGTTAAATACAGTGATGTCTAGATTACAGACAACAAAGCTGAACATTTCTGAGATGCTTTTATCCTTACACATCAGAAGAAAAACATTACATTTACATGTATTTTGTACATGATTTTAGAGGAAAGTGGTAAAAATTCTACATTGCATATGTGCACGGATGCTACTGCGCAAAAGTGATGAAGCATTGCCTGAAAAGCAGTTGCTTTTGTTTTTAAAGTTAAACAAAAAAAATCTGTTTAATAGCACTTATACTCATCAGTTAGCATCTACACAGCTAAATTATCACATCTACATCAACATGAACAAAATTCAGCCCTCATGATGGCTTCTACTGTTTTTAGCTATTTCCGTTTATTTGTATAGATAACAGAATGGCATAACAGTTACATGAGTTACATGGGGCATGAGTTACAAGAGGTAGTGGTTGAAACCCTCAAATAAAAGAACGTTACTTAATTAACAGGTTACTAGTGGTGCTCTGTAGGCGACCCTGCCAGTCTTCAGTGATAGCAGAGGAGAGTAAAGTTCAGCAACCTCATTTTTTTGCCTTTAGTATTGCCCACCGCTAATTCTTCAGTGATATGAAGCTGAAGTCAACTATTCAGCAGCTTCTCGTTTGAATTTTCCACCTTAAGTAGTGCAGCAGTTCTAATGCCTGAGGCACCAGAATGTAATTGCTGCACCATTTAAGGTGGAAGAGAAAATTTAGCTAGTTATCTACTGAGACATCAGCACCACTAGTGATTTTTTACTCTTGTTATAAACACAAGGACCCTAATACACTGAAACTACATTAACTAAGATAATACAATTGTTATCGTAATTTGTAACGGAGAAAATTCTTATATTTGTGGGCTTCTTTGGGCACTTGTTCTTTTCATATAACACTCTGTTTGGAGTGTGTCTCTGAAAAACCTCCGTTAGGAGGGTCATGTAGCTCTAACACTTCGCCCTACCCCTCTATCTCAACAAGAATCAGGAGACCCTACCTCTAGACGCAAACATGCAAAACGGAGGGGTAGGGCTGAGTGGTAGGGGTGAGGGGTGAAATGGGATTGGGCCTTAGCACCAAGCTAATTGTTGGATTATAAGCCTTCATTTCATGTTAGCTACATTAGCCTCATACACTGTAAAAAGTGGCTCGTCAGATCTACTTTACTTCATGTGGTAACAAGTAAATTAACTAATTTTATTCAACCTAAATAAATACTCTGAATGAACGATTCACTCAATCAAAGTAATTTTTTGAGTTGAATAAAACTAGTTCAATTGCTTGTTACCACATGAAGTCATTCTTTTAAGTAGATCTGATTAGCCAGAGTACAGAGTACAGAGTAAATAAAGATCCAAACTTGATCAAAAATGTTTTGGCTGATTACCTACAATTGGAAAAAAAACTTTTATTGCTGAATTATTACTTTAAGTGTGCTTAACTAGAAGTAGAGTGCAGAGACGGCTAGGTGTGAATTTAAATAAAAGAGAGAAACCTTTTAAAGGAGCTTTTCTCCAGTAGCCATCTCGGACCTCGACGTGGTCATACCAGCACAGATGGCTCCGGTACAGGTCCATAGAGGTGAAGTTCAGGATGATCTGAAACATGACAGAGAAAATAAGCACAATCAGTCTGATTTACTGCAGGAATATTCAGCCTTTGATGAGCTTTGCATACAATTTGGAGTAAAATATGTCAAACACTCTGGAAAAAATGTAGATGCTAAATTATTTAAAGCTTTAAAAACTGTTTTTTGATAAAAGTCTAGTCTTAAGGACTTTACACACTGAGTGTGATTTATTTGTGTAACAGCAAATTAATCTGATCGCGCGCATAACTCATGATGATAATGATGATGATGATAACTCTCTTTTTTTTTTTTTTAATGGTAAGGATGCAACATTATTTTATTCTCTCTCTGTTCGATTTCTGAACGTTTGCCAATGACACAAACTCTCTGCCCATTCATAGTCGTCTCTGCTGTTGGCATGGCAACAACCAAGAAGATGAACTGGCTGTATACCAGCAACTTTTCAAAAATGTCAGAAGGATCAGAATCTCCAAAAGCATCTCAAACTGAGCTACAAATGTGAAAGAACTCAAGAGTTTCATGTCCTGAATGAAGCAATTCAGTTCTTCACACTGCTTTCAAAATACACAGTAGCCCAGTATCACCCTTTGTTCATTGTGTGTGGAGCTAAGAATCAGATTCTAATAAAACTTTGACCCTCTGTGGTCTGAGGTCATTCTCTCTCTAAATGTGGACTGACACACAAATCCACCAGTTACAAAAGATTAAGACATCCAGCCTTTTATTTTGTGCTTTGTTTAATTTGGAGCTGCATATTAATAATCAGCTCAAACTCAGCTGAGATCTGAGCTGCCAGTTAAAGCTGGCAAAGTTTTAGCTCCTGCATGAGGTGGAGAAACTCTCTGTGCTCCTTTCGCTTTCCCAAAGTGGAAAGCATCCTGCACACTGTCACAGTCAAAAAACAGCTGCAAGATGCAGCAGCATCAGAGATTTAATAAAATCTAATAAAGTGTCCATTTTAATGTTAACATTTTCTTTTACAAAAGATTTAAATATGTCATGTTGCTGGCATCAGTAAGCTCTGACGTGTCACTACTGACTGCTCAGGTGGTCTGAGTGAACATTGAAAAGGAGCCTTTGTGTATCAGTGTTAGAAAGCTCTCTTCTACATTGACTTCTGCCTTAGCTTCTAGTCTACAGACGTGTACGTGTACCTTCTCTCCCGGGGTGACGGAGATTCTCCAGATGCAGTGCGAGTAGGCGCTGTAGCCATTGGGGAATCCAGGAGAGGAGAAGTTTCCAGAGCTTTCCTGCAGGCTCTCACCGCATCCTGATAACAAAACACAACAAAATCAACTTCACAGCATCACAGGATCAGAGGAACACCTCAGTGATCTTCACACAACACACAGAGTGAGCCAACCCTGAAGAGTTTGGATTTCTGCTGCTCAAAAAAAGACCATATTCTTAAAGCTGGGGTCTCAAAATCAAATTACCTAGCTAGGTGGTCTTCTCCAAGGGAGACTGGGCACAAAGGCAGTATGTATATAAATATGTTCATCTAACATTTTAAACACAAATATAGGAATAAAAACAAATGACTACATAGCATATGCAGTCATGTAAGTGCATTTTAGTCAATGCTCATTAGCAATTATAATGTCACCACAAACCACAACAACTACTATTACTACCAGTAGTAGTACTAATAATAATAGTTATTATTCCTATTAGTAATAGCACTAGTAGAAGTGCAGTAAAAATGCATTAGTCTTTAATAAATATTTTACATCAAGTAAACAGACATTTAACTGCAGAAATATATGGGACTCTTATTGTGATAGCATTATTATTTTACTTATTGCAAGTGAAGTGTTGTAGTCTCAGCAGATTTGTTTGATAACTCCATTCAGTTCTTAATTGTGCTGTGCTGTATCTCCTGCTGTGAGTTAATCCACAAAGGCAGGTTTAACTAACCATCACTCTAAATTAGAGTAATAGCTGAGTTAGTTGTAGCTAAGAGTTTTAAGAGATGTCATGATGTAACTTACATCCCTCTCAAATGCAAACAAGCATGAATGAGTACAGTCAAAATTACAGTCAATAAAAGCAATATTCCATCCTTAAGAGTGCAACTGCATCCCATGCCAACACAGTAGTGGATTTAGCTTTATGTATCACTGCAGTAGTCTGTGGGAACAATATCATAATAGCATAATAGCCATTGTATTTGTATTGAACAAGTCATGTATAATAGTCTTTTTAGCAGCAGTTAGATCAGTAAAGATTAATCACTTTTGAGCTAATGTGAAGGTGAAAGAGCTATCTTCATTCCATAAACAGAGACACAGATTTTTGTTATTACGAATTTCAAGTACATCAGACAATACGGACAATATAAACTCCCAGAACTTGCTAATCTTATTGCAATCCCAAACACATATGCAGAAACGTGCTGAAAGAATCAGCGCTGTAAACAGTACAATAAGCATGGGAATGCTGCCCCTTTTATGTCTTAAGTATGGTAGGGAGTAGCCCTGTGTATGTATTTAACCCTCTGATGTCTGAGGGCATATTCTTGATTTTTGGACATGTTTTAAATGCACCTTTAAAGGCACTTGCATACGACATGATACCCACAGATTATATATCAGAGTTGTTCAGAACAATCTCAGCTCTCTCTATAATGAGGTGCTTTTGCACTGTGTGAAGAGTTAACCCCGCCCTAAAGCTGAAAAATTGAAGCTTTAGAAATTCTTAATATTGCTTGTGAAAACATAACATTAATTGTTTTGGTGCTTGAAATGTGTTTACCTAAGTGGTAAACACAAAAGCAGTGGAATGTATGAAAAAGATAGCAGCAGCATATTTTTCCCATAGCAGCAGCAACTTCAGCAGCTGTAAACTCGCTGCACGCCATTTCACATGTGTCTCTGATGTGGACTGAATGAAGAATAAAGGGTTTTCCGGCGTGATGGTCAGTCCTTAGTGATTTCCTGAGTGTCCACTGGTCAGTTTCACACAGAATGACACACAAATCCACCAGTTCCACGCGGTGAGAGGCAGATGATGTGTATCTCAGCCCCTCTTCATAGCCTCATAACTCTGGATGTGAGTCTCGTAGCACCTCGTGATAAGATGGAATAGAAAGGGCGACTCTACAGATTCAGGAAATGTTTGAACTGTATTTCTGCGCTGGATTAAAACAAAGATATTAATAGGAACACACATTTCTAATTTGATGCATTGGCTCATTTATCGACAAGATGCAACGAGAAACTGTCAAACACTAAAAAGTCGTGAAGCTTCTTCCCATTCCACCTTAAATGGTGCAGTAGTTACATTCTGGCACCTCAGGCACCATTTAAAGTGGAACGGGAAAATTTGAACAAGAAGCTGGTGAATGAGAAGCTGACTTCAGCCTCGTAAATAAAAAGTGAAAAAAACATGAGAGGCATTTTACAAGAAGGAAAGGAAATGTTTCCTGCCAGAGGTGTGACGAAAGCATTTATAGTTGAGATAAAGCTTAAAGCAGAGCTAAGTAAGTCTGCGTTTCATTTCTATCTTATTTTTTAGCCTATACTAGCACATTAGCACACACTGAGACATACTTACAGTCAAGACGGTAAAATATTACTCCAATAAAATGGACCTAAAATGCTGGCGCTCCCAAGGTGGTTTGATTTTTGTTGAAACAGGACAAAATGGCTCTTCTTAACATTTGGGTTGTGACCCCTTCTCTAGAACATGATACATAATTAGACTGTCTCTGTGGATAAAAGTATCAGGTTGTCTTTTCCCCCCTTGAGCTTTAAATCCTTCCATATAGCTTTGAAGTGTAAATGAAGCAGCAGGAAACTTATATGAACGTTATGTATGAAATACGGTTACTGTTGTGTAATGGCCTTAGGCATTAATGAACACTGCCCTTGGCTGTGAAGAGCCACTTACTGGGACACTTGTAGAGCTTCCTTGCCTGAGCGATGTCTCCTTTACTCAGACGCGTTCGCTGACCAATCGGTGGCCGTACTCCGTTTACATCATAGCGAGGCAGAATTGTATCCAGAAATATGCCTCTGTTAAATACAGAAAACAGACTTTAACATGGGAGTCAACAGGGTGACGAGGCTTTAGAACAGCAGAAGAGCAGATGGATGGAAGGTGATGGTGGAGTACCTTTATGTAACAATAATCAATAATAGAGCACATTATATACAGCACCGTGCAAAAGTCAGAGACTGACATTTATTTAATTTCTAGTCAAATCAGCCATTAAGTACAAGTTATTCATTTTCCAGGAGATATTTCTGAGGAAATTAGATGTAAGACAAAACAGGAGCTTCCAAAACTAGATTTAATTAAAAATAATTAAAATCTACAGAGAAAATGTGTCTCCTAACAACCACCTGGAAGACCTAGGAGACACCAAAACTGTCCCTGTGATGGTCCAGTGGAAAAGACTCGTGGGTACGTTTCAGATTAGGGTGCAAAAGTGGGTGTTTACTGAATCTCAGTGAAGAAAACACAAAAAAATGCAACTTATCCAGTGCAAAAAAAGTCTACATATATATGCAACTTAGTATGAACAGTTCATTATTCTACTAATTACTAATTCACTCTGCTCCCTCTAGGGCTTTTATAGAGCTAAACAGGAAGTGATGTGACGTTTTTGCGCGGGACAATTTCACTATAAAAACTCACCAGACAAAGGCTACTGTTTTCCTCCCTGAGAGAAGTCATGGCTACCTTCCTCTGGAATCTATTCACAGGCAAGTACTTTTTCCCTTCCAATTTAATTATGTTACTCAATTAAACCTTGTCTTGACTTCCCCCATTACTGTTCAGAACTATAACAGTGCATAAACTGTTTAGTTACACTGCCAAAGCAAGCAACATTAACTCTTAACATTTTTTAAAAAAAACAGTTAATATTCAACATGAAGTTTTTTCTCTTTTTTGTTCCCTGCAGCTTTCCAGCTTAAACATTATCAATTAATAAAGGCTATTTAAAAACAGCATGTGTCTGTCTGTTTGAATATGAAATGTCCCCATTACATAGAAAGTCTTTGCATATATATATTGCGCAGAGGGCAGCTCCGTCACAGTCCCCATCAGATAAACAACACTTATAGCTTTCATTTTCGAGAGAGAGGAGAAAATCAAGCTGCTTCAGATCTGAAAACATCCACAGGTGTTTCTGTTCATCCTTCCACTGTGAGAAGACAACTCAGCACTATGGGTCTGAAAGGACGTGTAGCTGTCAAGAAGTCTCACTGAGAAAAGGAGACGGACACATCAAACAAAGAATGCGCAGTGCACCTTTAACTGGAACTCTGTAACGGGACTGTATGCACAGTGCACTTTTAACTGGAACTCTGTTACAGGACTGTATGCACAGTGCACCTTTAACTGGAACTCTGTAATGGGACTGTATGCACAGTGCATTTTAACTGGAACTTTGTAACGAGACTGTATGCACAGTGCACTTTAACTGGAATTTTGTAACAGTACTGTATGCAAAGTGAACTTTAGCTGGAACTCTATAACGGGACTGTATGCACAGTGCACCTTTAACTGGAACTCTGTAACGGGACTGTATGCACAGTGCACCTTTAACTGGAACTCTGTAACAGGACTGTATGCACAGTGCATTTTATGGCCATGAAGATCTACAAAAAACAAGTTTGCTAGCCCAGTGTCATTCGCCTTGGTAATACGCGTCCATGAATTTGCATAGCTCCTGAAGAGGCACTAAAGAGAGGGGTGTATTTGTTTTGCTGTTGAATTCAAATATCAACAATTGTTTTCCAGAATCATTTACTGCTCCTTTGAAAAGATCAATGATGTGCATTATTATATCTGCATATATATTTGCATTTATGTCTCTGTGCATTTTCTATCTTAAATACAGCGAGTGTTATCAAAGCTTTAATTGCCTGTTTCAGTTATTAAACTTTGCTGGTCTGGTTGCTCCATCTGACTGACTGGTTGAGCTGCCTGACATTATTTCACTTTTGGAGGCAAAAAGAAACGAGTGAATTTTTTGTATGGATGCACTGAAAATTGTTTCACATAAAAGAGGTATTGTTGAATAATTTGTTATATGTCATGCATTTATTAAATTATTTTTTGGAAAAATAATGGACTCGGAGACAAAAAATGCACATCATGTCAAAGTTTTTTTATTTTCTAAACGTGACCTTGACCTTATTTTTCTAAACGTGACCTAACTCAGGAGCCAGGCAGAAGTGGAATATTGTCCTTTTTTAGAGTATTTTACAACGTCAAGATTGCAATCTGGGTCTGTCAGCGATTGGGCTTTATGAGACAGAGCACTGAACTCTGACTGCAGTGTCACTGACCAGGTGAGTCATCACTCTCATTTATTTTGTTTTTATTTTCTGGGTTCAGAGTGTTTCTCATAAAGGCCTGACTGTGACTTTTATTTTTATGTCAGTTTTTAAGTGTTATTGTGATGTATTAACTGTAAGTGCGACAGAGTTACATGCCAAGAGCCTGATGGATTGTCCATGCCACCAAGGACCTCCCCGCCATCTACCACTGTCTATAAGGCTCTGCACCGGTCCCACAAGCTGGGCCTTGAGGGTGGTGGGCCCACACGGTTCCCTCACATTACCTTTTCAGGCTGAGTCTGGCCAGGTTATGTGGGCTGACTGGCCACCAGGCACTTGCCAAGGAACACTACTCCCAGGCCTGGCTCCAGGGGTAGGTCCTGGTAAGACTCTCCCGGGCAGGGTACACAATATATTGTGTCCATTGTTCATAAGGGATTTTGGATCATGTTAATCTGGGTCTTCACTCCAGACCTGTTTGCCTTGGGAGCAGATCTGGAGCTTAGCTCTGAAGATCCCTAGACCAAACAAGCCCTTCCGCCATGACAAGGTCCTGATCCAGGTAAGGGGAGAGGACCTGCCCCAGGTGGAGGAGTTTCAGTATCTCAGGGTCTTGTTCAACAGGGATGGTCGGAGATCGGCCGCAGGCTGGGACAGGCGGCAGCAGCCATGCGGTCACTGTGTTGGACTGTAGTAGTGGAGAGGGAGCTGAGCCATAAGGCAAAGCACTCTGTTTACCGTTCGGTCTACATCCCAACCCTCACCTGTGGTCATCAGCTTTGGGTAAAGACCGAAAGAATGAGGTTGCAGATACAAGTGGTGGAAATAAGCTTTCTTTGCAGGGCAGCGGGCTACACTCTACTGACAGGGTGAGGAGCTCAGTCATCCGGGAGGAGCTCCAAGTAGAGCCACTACTCCTCCACAGAGGAGCCAGTTGAGGTAGGCATCTGATCAGGATGCCACCTGGCTGCCTCCCGGTTGAGGTTTGCCAGGCACGGCTTACCGAGACGAGACGCTGAGGTTGTCCCAGGACCTGCTGGAGGGACTATATCTCTATATTCTCCTCTTTCTTCTCTCATTCTTTCTTTCTTGTCCCTCTCTCTTCTGTCATTCTTTCTTCTCATTCTTTTACTCTCATTTTCTTATTCTTTCTTTTCTTTCTCTCTCTTTCCTTCTTATTCCTTTCTCTTTCTCCCTACTCTCATTCTTTTTTCTTCTTCCTCTTTTTCTTTCTTTCTTTCTTCTTCCTTCCTGCTCTCATTCTATCTTTATTCTCTTTTCCCTCTTCTTCTTCTCTCCCATTATTTCTTCTACTTTCTCTTTCTTCTCCCATTCTTCTTCCATTCTTCTTTCACTTTCTTCTCCTTCTTTGTCTTTCTTTCATTCTTTATTTCTTCTCCTCTCCTCCTTCTCTCTCCTTCTTTTGTTCTTCTCCTCTCATTATTTATTCTCTTTCTTCTTCTCTCATTATTTCTTCTTCTCTCTCTTTCTATTTTTTCTTTCTTCTCTCTTCTTTCTTTTTCTTTTCTCATTCTTTATTTTCTTCTCCCCCTTCTTCTTCTCTTCCATTATTTCTTCTACTCTCTTTCTTCTCTCATTCCTTTGTTCTTCTTCCATTTTTATCTTTTTCTCATTCTTTCTTTCTGTTCCTCTCCCTCTCTCCTCTCATTATTTCTTCTCCCTCTCTTTCTTCTCTCATTCTTTCTTTCTTCTCTATTTTTACTTTCTTTTCTCCTCTCTTCTCTCTTCTTTTTCTCTTTCTTTTCTCATTCCATCTATTCTCTCATTCCTTTATTATCTCTCATTTTTTCTTCTCCTTCTAGTTCTCGTTCTTCGTTCTCTCATTCTTTCTTCTTTGTGTGTCTCTGCTCAGCCCCCCCCCCACTCCCCCCACCCTTTCTCCCTGTTGCCATGGTGATGATGCTGTAGAGGAAGGTCAGTGTATAAAGAGCTTGGTCAGTACTGAGGCCTCAGACATCAAAAAGCGAGAAAGAGAGAAAAAGAACAGGTTAAAAACTGGCAATTTGTGTAGGTTAGTGTCCAAATATGGACAGCGTGGACTGGAGAACAAACCATATGCTTTTGAACTTCAATAATATTTACTTCTACTTCACACATTACAATAAAAAAGATCCTGAACATACACTCAGTCCAGAGATTTCAAATGCTTGACTGGAGCTTTAACTAGTTTCTGATATTTCGTCCTGCGTGTCTGATCATGTTTGCAGAGTTTTTGTGTTTATAAATATCGGTCTCCTGGGAGAGCGCTGCTTGTGGACTTCTTAATTTATGCTAATCAGATCACAGGGTGAAATGGGGTAATTTGCGCTGGTATAATCAGATGTAGCACAAATAGAGCCTTTCATCACTGTGCTGACCATGGCTAGTTCTGTGTCTAAATTTCACATATTTCAGAAATTATTAATCAATATCAAATATCAAAATCTCCACAGAGATAAAAGATACTACTTTAAAATGGTTTACTTAAAAGGTACTTAATGTGTGTGCAACTTCAAAACATATTTCTATAAGTAATAAAGTGGGTTTTAAATTCATTTAAGTTGATTTAATAGTCAAAGTCAAAGTCAAAGTTTATTTATATAGCGCTTTTTACAACAGGTGTTTTCACAAAGCAGCTTTACAGAAAAATCCGGGTCCAAGCCCCCATGAGCATCGCCAATGGCGACAGTGGCAAGGAAAAACTCCCTAAGAGCAAAAGGAAG